CAGGGTGGTACATGCACACTCATTGATTGGAAGGTCTGCCATGCCGTATGTTGGTGCCTTGTCGATGTAAGCAAGGAAGATGGGAGCTATGGCTTGAATTATCAACTTTGCAGAGGGGGAAAGCTGCAAGTCCGAAGTCCGGGCAGATTTGACCCATTCATCTATAATGTTCAGGCCTGCCTGTATATGCCGTAGTCCAGGGAGTGCTGAGCCCTTCATAAATTCGCAGCAGGCGAACAGAAGACAGGCCATCAGAACGCTTTCAATCTGCGGAGACGAACAAGTGGCTTGGATGGCCTTGGTGTAGTGGGTCTGATAAACTGAGTTCTTTTCGAGCGGTACACCTTCAAGGGCAGACGCCTCGACGACAGATGAGGTGGCAAGCAGCATGTGCTTGACGGCAGGTTGGGCAACGCCAATTTTTGGTAAGAGCTCAGCCCAAAAAGAATGGCCTATTGGCAAGAATGAGTGTCGGCAAAGGGGGGAGGCAGGCTAATGGCACCAAAGGAGGGTAGGACGTACCAAAATAAGAGGAAAAGATGGGAGCGGCTTGTTCATTCCAAAACTGGAATGAGCGTCTGTCGTCGTAGTCGCCAATGGGCGCAAGAGGAGAAACAAATTGAACAATTGCCGTTGGTGTGTTGATGATTTCCTCCTTGGTTTCAGACACCTTTCGAGGCTTGAACAGCCACGTCTGAGGCGGTTGATAGCCTTCGCATTTTCGCAAAGAGTCGGTACATTGTCGACAGGCGGGTTTTCCCTCGTCACATTTTATTCGACGTTTCTGTCCGCACGAGTTAGATCTAGTAGCATGAAGCCAAACATAATCGGCAACCGAGCGGAGGAAGAAAATGGGTGCGACAGTGGACAGGCAAAGTGGTAAAGATTGGGGAAAGGTGGATTTGGGACTGCCTACCCTGCAAGTCATACACCCTGTCTTCACCTTCTGATGCGGTCGTTTGGCGCGCCCTTGAGCCATGATGCCATAGCAGAGTTTAAGGATGTTGTTTAGAAGTTCAAAGAAAAGAGGGAGACAGAGCCACGGTCACAGCGATGTAATTGTAGCCAGAGATGAAGGGAATGAGGTCGAAAGGGAAGTCCCGAAGTCAACGGAAGAATGTGCCTCTTGGGCTAGTTCATTTAGAGCCCTACTCGATCAGGAGTTGGTCGACACTAGTCATTCGGTATCGGCTGGCGCGAGTAATAACTTAGGGGAAACCTTGGAGAGGTGTCGATCTGATCATCAGGTTGCTGTTTGATGCTTCTAGGTTGGATACCCGTTGACCTGTCTGGGTCGAAAGTTTGCCATTTGCTATATTGTACAGATATGTGTGTTAGGCGATGGCAAAAGAGGTCCTCTCTTGCTGTTGTTCTGTCGGACTAATTCCTCCCGTGGGTAACCTTTTGGCATTTTCGTATCTTCTATTGTCTCGACTGGCTCTGCATTGACCTAGCGTGGAAAAAGGACCCAGGGGACTTGCCCCCCGATGGTCGGGGGCTGATGGCCTATGGAGGAGCAGGGCAAGGAACCAGGGGGGGACGGGCATGGGAAGACCACTTTACCTGGGTGCCGGTGCTTGATCAGGTGTGTACAATGCGTGCCAGGTGATGCATGCTTACGCATCTACTTTCTCATCTGTGATGATTCTCTCCCCGGCCCACTGGCGAATTCATTGGGCTGAGAATGCAGGCGCTGGCTGATTTCCTGGCCGCACTGGGAGTTTGATGTGCACGGCAGGTTGATTGGTTTCAGGATCGTGAATCAATGCAAATACCCCCCCCCCCGGGCCAAAAAAATCGGCCGGTACCGTAGCATCGCACAGCCAAAGCAATAATCCCCAGGCATGGCGCCAGGCGACGCCAGGCCCTAAGGTAATGGGGACCCCCGGAAGGACGGAGGAATGGGGAGGCTGAGGCGCGTGAGGCGGCTGAGAGCTGCAAGGGGGCAAAGACGCCCGTCGAAGACTTAGGTCTAGAATTATTACATATTCATGCCTTCCTAGGCATGGCCGTGGTTGCCTGGTAAGGCTCCTAGGGCTAGTTTCCGGGGGGCCCTTTCTGAGTGACATGCTGAGGGCATCCGCATCTCTCTGCTCATACAGTAACTGACTTGGCGTTATTGGGGCTGTTTCCTCTTGGTCTTCCGGATTCCGAAGTCCATTCGTTTTTCTGCCAGATCTGGTATGTATCATGTACGACAAGGGAGAGATGGACAGCATATCGACAATACGGCATGCGGCATGCGGCGGACGTCGGGGTTAAGAGAAGGGCCCGTCATCTCGGAGAGAGGGCGCTTGGAAGCGTGCGAGTTCTGGTAGATGGTATGTACTTTGCCTCTGGGACAGGATCGACTTGCCAGAATAGAGAACGCAGAAGTGAGATGGACGTAGGGACAGAAGTGAACATTGAGTGAGTAAATCGACCTTTTTCTCAAAGTGTCCGACAAGAATGATGGGCTTCATCTGCAACATACCTAGGTACGGTAAGGCTGGGGAGGCTCGAGGTGATGACGGTGATGTGGGCGGGAGATGGGAGGTGAGAGGCGAGAGAGGTGAGGGGAAAAGTGCGGTCGCTGCGCTGTGTGCTGCACGGGTGCTGCCACCGCTGCTGCTTTCACTTCATGCCACAGTGTTCGCAACAACATTCACTCACCCAACCCAACAACCACCTCAATGTCCTCGTCTATGGAGGTTGGATTCTTGCACCACCATCTTGTTCCTTGAGACACGTTATTTCGCTCTCTTTCCCCTTCCATCGCCTCTGAAATGCCTACATCATTGCTGCTCCCCTCGCTGGTCCTCGTACTGACCTGCGTGATCAATGTCCAAGCTCTCTACGGCAAATCATCCCCGGTGCTCCAAGTTACAGCAAAGACATACGATTCACTGATTGCACAGTCTAATCATACCTCCGTATGAACTCTCGCCTTTGCCCCTCATCCGTTTGTGGAAGTGCCAGTTGGCTGATCGTCGTGTCAGATTCTCGAGTTCTACGCCCCCTGGTGTGGCCATTGCCAAAACCTCAAACCTGCATATGAAAAAGCGGCAAAAAATCTAGCTGGCCTGGCCAAGGTCGCGGCGATTGACTGTGACGATGATGCAAATAAACCCTTCTGTGGTCAGATGGGTATCCAAGGCTTTCCAACTCTTAAGATCGTCAGACCAGGTTCTAAGGCAGGTCGGCCTATTGTCGAGGATTATATGGGTCCTAGGTCTACAAAGGGCATTGTTGAGGCGGTCAAGGACAAAATTCCAAATCATGTCAAGAAATTATCAGGTGATGCTTTGGAGAAGTGGTTGGACGCAGAAGAGGCTCCGGCCAAAGCCATCGTATTCACGGATAAAGGTACAACCAATCCATTAGTCAAGAGTTTGGCCATCGATTTCCTCGGCAGCGTCGCGTTCGCCCAAGTCCGAGACAAGGCTACCGCTCAGCAGTATGAGGTATCTGAATTTCCAGCCATTCGACTTATCCCTTCCCATGGGGCTCCTCCCATTCCATACGAAGGAGAAATCACTCGAGACTCCTTGGTGAGCTTCTTCAGCCAGGTTGCTCCTCCAAATCCTGATCCGGCACCGAAGAACGCAATGTCAGCCAAGCCATCAAGCAAGAAGTCCAAGCCGAAGTCCTCATTATCAGCTTCAGCTGCATTCTCGAGAGCTTCAGCGGCGCACAAATCTTCCGACTTTGAGGAGCATCTCGCAGGCTCTAGCACCATCGTTCTTGACGACCACACTCCTACCAAGTCCCCTCTGCCAGTTACTGAGGTTGAGGAGAAGCCGATGATTGTTCGAGAAGCCATTGCCCCGATCCCTACGCTCTTTACATCCGCGGAAGTAGAGGCTGCCTGTATGATGCCGAGAAGCGGTAATTGCATATTGGTGCTACTCCCCCCGTCGCAGGAAGCACCATCCGAATCAGCAACTTCCGCATTAGCAGGCTTCGCTGAAATCGCCGACAAGTACAGCAAGCGCAAGGCTAGTATGATACCTATTTACGCAGTGCCTGCTGACAACCAGGCGGCGACCCTGATCAGAAATGACTTAACCCTTGGACCAGAGGATCAAATGGAAATCATCGCAACCAATATGAAGAGAGGTTGGTGGAGACGATACCCAAGTGACTCTTACGATGTTACCGACTTGGAAAACTTCGTCGATGCTATCAAACTCGGAGAAGGTTCTAGGTCCGAACTACCCGCTGGTTTTGGTATAATGACAGAGAAGGCCTCGGAACCTGATACCACAGAGACGGTCAGTATTGCTGAGCCTGTTGAGTCCGTTGAAGGTGGTGAAGGAGTTGCCGACCCTGAACCGGAACAAAATCCGGAAGCTGAGGCTACTGATACTGTTGTCAGTGTTGCCGAAGCGGAGCCTGAACCTGAAGGTACCCCGAACATGAAGCATAATGAGCTGTGATCATCAAGGTGAAGAACTTTCGCTTTATTCACCATGTTTTAGCTCATCTGCGCCCACCCAAGGCTTTCAATAAGTGACTCTTAGATCTTTATGATCATGCTTCCAGCAGGTCTTACGGAGCTCCTTGACAAGAACTTTTTTCTCTGTACTCCTCTCTTCCTCTCACCGTTCTCTCACTTCCATATCTTCTCAAGTGACTTCTCTCATTTACCTTTTTACCCCGGTTTTCAAGCATTCGAAAACTTTTTGGGTGATTTTGAATGACTTTTATTCTTCTCCCTCGACTTAAATTACGTCCAAAGCTCTCTGACATTATCATTCGCTTCTGCTCACCACGTCTCGGTGCTCCTGTCATCCTTACTATGCGACGGATCGAAAAAGCAACCCCGTTATTTTGATGGACTTAGCGTCTTGGATGATCTGGGTGCCCTGGAATGACACCGCTCCATCTTTTTTGTCTTTGATCGCGAAGTCTGCCTTTGAATTATGGGTTCTGGTCATTCTCTCGCACTTGGTATGCCGGACGACCCGGGCCCAGCCGTGCCATTACCGATCGACTCTATGATCAATCCATCTCAAAGAATGGACATCGGCTCTCAGACTACAAACACAACCGTACCGCGACCGCAACGACCCCTGTACGATGTCACACTCAGAGTTAACACACAGACAAATCTTGTTGCAGGGCATCATCTTGAAGTCTCGATGATGCTACCGGAGGCATCTCAACCCAAAGTTCTGGTCGGAATGGGCGATGACTCATTGGCTCCAGCAAGAAATAATTCAGAGGTTCCCGAATTTGCGTCCAAAACTATCGAACAGTCCCAAGTCACCGAGCCCGAGACCAAGGCCATGACGGAAAATTGCGAAAACCTCCGTGCCGCCATCAGAAAGGATCTACAGTCTGGTTGTTTCGAGATACCGCCCCTAACCGTTCAGAAGAGTAAAGCCCGAACTCGCAACCTGGCGTGTTATCAGTTCCCTCCAGCTGTGTTGCCAACCAGCCTCCCTTCACGACAACGACAACGGTTTAATCGATCGGCACTTCTCCCCGATAGCAATCTTCCATTCTGTGCTCAGATCATGGAACATGTGAAAGACTGGGCGGAATGGGGAACAAGAATTGCAGACGACCAAAGACGGAAGGAAGTCTTAGATCATGTCTTTGCTGTTCTGTCAAAGGCCTGGTTTGAGGCCTTGCGGCTTGGGTACAATCCTGGCACGACCGACACCAGAAGGACGGCACCACAAGGGCCAGCCAGGCGCTCTGCACATCGTGGAGAAGAAATTCCTGCTGGTTTACCGCGCGGAAGGCCTCGCTCAAAACGAGAGACAAGCCCCTCCAAAAAGCCCATCTTGGTCGCGAGTCACAGAGACGGTCCTGCTTGGGCAATCACAGAAGGAGAACTGGAAGAAGCTGGCATCTCCGAAGGTCAAATACGAAGACGGGCAGCCGCAAAAAACACTCTGGAGGTTGGCGACAAACTTTTGGATGAAATCCTCAATGAGTATCATGGAAAGATCCAAACAACTGACTGGTTCAGGATCATGGATATCACATATCTAAATCCTAAGGGACGAGATCTCATGATCTACTGCCTCTACGAGGTGCTGAGGATACGGAGCAATATTGAGCAGCTATGGAAGTATTACAACTCCTTCACGACACCCAGGCAGAAAAATAACACTAAGAGACGCATCGATGACGAGCAAGAACGCCAAAATCTATTCATGGCTCTAGCATTAGAGCTCAACGAAGGAAAGACTTCGCCAGGAGACCCAACGGCCTCTAATATCCCGACCAGTCGAGAAGGATCAGTGGTCGTTCCGCAAACGACAGCTGCAAATGAAACAGTTCAGCCGAATCAATTCGATACCCTTGTTCAACTGATCGATACGATCGTTGACGGGACTGATATTGCTTCTATTAATTCCAGCTTTGAGTTCTTTGAGATTTCGGAGGATGACCTTGTCACTGACGTTTTCATCGAAGAGACGTCAAACAGTCTCAACCGGTGCAAGCACATTTTAAATGATTTGCTGTTTTTGGCACGAGAGTGGCTCAGGTTGTCAAAGAACGCAGAGCCGCCTATCGAGCTGGATACAAACGTCGATTTGCGTGCACAGGTTCAGAACGCAGAGCTGGAGATACTCGAGAGAAAAAATCTACTCAGGAACCTTCTTCCTTCGCTAATCGTTGAGCGGGAGGCGACCAGGAAAATTGACAACGAAGACGGCGCCTCGACTGAAGTACATTCGCCTGTCTCTAACAATCGCGTTCCAACAGATGATAAGTCAGTGACTGAAGCCGCAAGTCCAGCACCGTCCAAGAATATCGTCAAGCACCATCTCGACCTCGATGATGGAGAGGTTCCATTGCCACCTACGAAAAGGCAAAAACCTAATCATGAAGCAGGCCATCTAGGCAGCCCACTTGCCGCACTCGGCGATGGGCAGGTCAGCCGCAACCTCCATGAGAGCGGCAAGTCAAATATCGAGAACAAGTCGGATGTCTCCGGGGCCCGTCATTCGAGTCAAGCAAGCAAGGAAACATGCCGCAGTCTTCTGGTCGGACTTCGCGTGCCATCCCACTTCAAGCCAACGGATTTCACAAGCAAAAGAATCTTCTCCCATCCCAAAGGTTTCAAATACCGGTATACAAACGAATCAAACTTCGCTCAGCGGAGGTCAATGAGAGAAGATCTGGAGACTTATGTGGGATTTTCGATGACAAAGGGAAAAAACCAGGACCCTGACTTGCGGTTTGGGAAGTACCACGCCTTTACTGATCATCGGGGGGGCAAGGGCACGATGGTCATCCATGGTATTTGGGACTTGGAGGACGGAAACCAGCCAGAGGGATTCGAATGGTTCTACAAAGGCGATGGTACACGTCCGTCCGAACAGAAGAAGGTATCGCCGCTTCAAGAGGCAGAAGTCGAAGAAGAAGTCCTGCCAATCCCACCGCCATCTAAGAAGTCCGTTGTTGTTTTAAAATTGAAGAATGGCATACGCTTGAGACAAGAAAGCGACTCTTGCTCGATAACCGGTGACGCCCACGGCACGGCCATCGACTCCCAAAGCAAGAACAAGACAGGCCCAAGAGACAAGAACAAGAACAAAGGCCAGGACCGATATGTGCGTTTCACTGCGGAACCGCCAGCGGCTGTGCACACAGATTACAAAGAATCGGCACCGATCAGTCGACCGAAACGAAGAGCCGCTGCAAGAAAGTCTTATGTGGATGATGAAGATGATTACGTCCCTTCAGAGTAATACGATGCTGATTATTGGTGCTTGGTCAGTGCTGCTGAGATTCTGTCAATGGCTTTGGATAATAGATCTGTGCCCCCCCTGTGCTGAAGGGGTGGTCGTGGTGGTGGCTACAGGAATGGGTTGACCCACCATCATGATCGGACATGTCAGCGACAGGCTTTTGTGGTCATTGACGTCTAATATCATTTGCTTGTTATTTCCCTTTCCCCCCCCCTCATGTTGCTTGCGTACGTTACTATTGCTTCGCATCGGGGTTGCAAAGCACAAAGGGTGCCGGTTTATGCAGAAAGGTCAATTACTGCCCTAGGCTTGCTCTGTTTGCTTCAGAGATATGTGGAATCGGACGGCAAGGGACATGAGCGAGCAAACACAACTTGCGATGTGGAGGTTATGGTGGTGGCAGCGATGGTGTTGTCGCTGTGATAGACCAGGGGGGTCTTTGCAGCCATATCATCATCGAACATGAGGACTGACCTGGGAGACTTTGCCCTTTCATTTCTTCTATTCCCTTTCTTTCTTTTTGTTCTCTTTACTTTGCGCGCCCGGTCCCGCAGTATTCCATCGGAGGAACCGTTAGAGAATATCTCAAATGGAAGGAGGGAAAATGGCGCCGCGAGGATCTGGACGGCGATTTCATTCATGCATCCTTCCCCGTCGGACGCTCGCTCGAGCATTCGAGATACTGGAAGAGAATCAGAGGGGGATGTGTGCGTGTTTCTGGTTAACTCTGCTCTTGAAATTGAGCTATAACGTGTCCACTTCTCTTCGCTCCCCCTTCGCTTATCCTGTTTTCTCTCATCCTGCGAAGTGAATTTCACCATGGACTTTCGAGCAAGGAGGTGTGGGTTTTCATACCTTCCTCTTCTTCTCCGTACCCTTCTTTTTCTTCCTCCTCACACCGTCACCCTCTGTCCCCCCTTTCTTTTTCTTCCGCCTTTCCCTGCCGTGATCATCGCCTGCACTTAATCGGTCCATACCCCGAAGGCCATCTTCTGCTCCAGCTTTGTCGTCATCGTCAATTTTCCTCTTTAACTTCCCGGCACTTTTGACGCTCACGACGTTGCTATTGCCGGCCGCGCGGACCTGTCGCTCCGCTTGCTCCCAAGCTCTGTTGTCTGCTGCGCTGGTGGTTGAGATTTCGTACCTGGATCGAGTTAAAGCCTTATTAGTTCAGAGGACATCTCCCAACCCTAAATTGATCTTGCGTGGCTTGAAGGGTAGAGGGGTGGAATGGGAAAATGAGTTTAGAGATTGACGAATTTGGATAGGTTAACTAGTGTGCAGCAATGGACGGAAGAGACTTACTTGTCAAGCGGCAACGCATCGATCATTGCCCTCTGTTTTTCTCTCACCCCAGGATCAGCCTCTTCCCCATACTCTTCCGTATCACCCTCACCATTCACCGGTCCCAAGGGGGCAATGTGTACTCTGCCACCAACAGGTTTCGGTTCTATTGCCTCTTCACCATTTATTTCGATTTCTTTTTTCTCGCCCAAACTCGCCTCTACCTCTCCACTGACAACCGCCCTCAATGCCGTACTTATCTTCCTCACAACCTTCACAAACATCGCCAACAGCTGGTTGCTTGGCAAATTGAGCTCTTTTTCCACTTCCCCGAGGTCCTTCCTCTGCAGTCCGATCGCCAGCAATATACTCTGCTGGACACCTGATAGGTTGACGTTGCAAGGCGGGAGCTTGAGGCGGACAGTAAAATACAATTGTGCGAGAGCGGGGAGGAGGTCGAGGATTACGTGGTAATCAAGCAGGTTGTTGGCGTAAGATTCGAGACGGGCGAGGTCGAACGGCGAGAAGAGGGCGTCGAGATCGACTTTCGTGAGTGGTCGGACATTTGGCAAAGATGGGTCTTCGGGAGCAGACTGTGTGGCTCGTGAGGCGGATTCAGAGATAGATAGACCTTGAACTGAGGGAAAGGTACGGAATTGATATGACAACAGAGTAAGGAAGCGTCTATGGAAATCTTGCGCGTAGGCCGCAAGCCATGAGTTGTCTGTCGTTGTGCTGGTTGAGAGGGGCCGGAGCATGACGCAGGAATGTTCGCCCGTCAGTTCGTTGGGTGTTTGCCGCAGATAAACGGGTGCAAAAGAATGTCTCTTCCAGAACTTATGGAGCGGTTGGGTCAAGCCGAATGAGACGCCGAGATAGTCCAAGTGGTCAGGTCTTCGTTCGGAGAGTTTGCTGAACAGCGGCGGCATTTGATGTATATCGCGGACTCTGATGTTGTCATCTAGCAGGTTGGATTCTTCGAGTTCCGCATCTGTGACGCGCGGCATGTGTTCTGTATCCTCTATTGTTGCTTCGTCCGTCTCCGACAACGAGGTGAATTTGCCCTCATAGAAGTCCCTTAAAAGCTCCAGCGCCCGTGATCCGTATCCCATGTTCAAATACTCCGGATTGGTCGCGATCCTTACTATCCGACTTCCTGACAATCCGGCAAATTCTGAATCCTGGAATTGCTGACTGACCAGCCAGGGAATCAAGTCTCCCCCGGCTCTCTGGCCGCGGGACAGGCTGCTCAGGACAGACTTTTTGCTGATTCGACCTTCTAGTGCAACTTGAATGACGCAGAGAGGTTCAGGTAGTTTGTTGGCGTCCTCAGGTATAGGAGGGATCAGGACGAAGAGTTGATGAGCTGGGGCATCGGACATGAGTTGAAGGTCGTTCGGAGAATTCTTGTAATGGGAAGCAACATAAAGCGCCATCATTTGCTGTAGGAACTTTTCTGAGACAGGATGAAAGGAGAAGAGGGTATCGCGGTTGACATGAACCAATTCACAAGCCGAAGGATGAGGCGTCCCTTGAGTGTTCATTTTCGACTTGGGCAGGGTGGCATCAAGACACAAGAGCCGGTTCAACCATTTCTCAACCGCATCGCCAGGTGCGTAACGGATGGGTTCTGACAGAGTAATCTCTCTCAAACTTCTTCCACCTGCATAGACTTTTTGACCGTCCTTAGAGGCCTTGCCTGTCGCCTTATCCGCAATCTCGACGTCGTCGCCACTAGCATGAACTCCACCTCTAGATTGCTCTCTCAGTTGTTGGATGAGTTTCAGCGATAGCGAACGGCCAGTGCCTTCATACCCATTGATGGTGGAAGCCATGAAGACTAGATACGGTCCCATCAATTTCCGGACCAACGGCAGTGGAATCGCTGCTGCTTCGTCAATTACCACCAGTTCCGCTTGACCGAGAACATGGGCATCTTGGGGCTGGATATACTGGATGGTCTGCCGATGTTGTCGATGAACGTTGATCCGTACGATGGCTTTGTTATAGTCCGGATTTGTGGATTGCAATATCGTATAGTCAACATGATCCATATATTCTAGCGTATCGAAGCCTTTGATGATGAATTCGAACAATGTCTTCAGATTTTCAGGACTTGGAGATGTGATGAAGATATTGCTGTAGCCATGAGCTATTGCAGCAGCAACGGCCACGCCAAGAGCAGCCGATTTTCCTCGTCCTCGAGCGGCTGTGAGTGTGACCGTGCTCCGGAGGGTTTTCTCCGATATGGCGTCGACGAAAGTGAGAAGAGCCTTCGCTTGGTCGACAGTTTTGGCCAAATTGATCAGAGGTCCAACAGGCCTGCTATCAGCCAAACTGTCTTTAATTTCCTTCAGCTCTTTCTGCGTCGGTAGCACATTTTCAGACTCGCTGCTCGGTGGTGGCAAGGGTTGAACGTTCTTTCCTCCAGATATGGGCAGAACATTGAGCTCATCATCCACTACTAAGCAAGACTCGCAATTTCCTAACGACAGGATGAATCTCTCGTTGAATCTAGCCACCACATCGTCGTGCGCTTCGGTACGATATCTGGAGTGGACATCCATGGACATTGTGTAGAGCTGCTTCAGACTTTTCATTCCTTTCAGCAGGAGTAGAACCAACCCTCCGCCTTCCACTGTTTCCACAGTTCTGGCGAGGAGATTCGGGGTGATGGCTTCAAAGTCTTGGAGAATGCACATGCCATATGTGTTTCCGAGAATCTTGTCCGTCTCTTTGTAGTAGACATATCGAATATTGTGCAGAGTAACGAATAGTTCAAAGGGATCTTCGGTATCGGGATCTCGAATACCTCTCTTGATTTCTTTCCTGATCTTCGCTTCGCGCTTTTTCCGGTGGGAAGTGAAGCCTAGGAGGTCTTTTTTGTAGGCCCAAAGGACGGATCTGTTCTGCTTGATGTCGACTGAGGCCATGATATAGTGCAGATGGACAATAACATCCTTGGCTCGGTCGCCCACAACGACGATGAAACTGCGCTTCTTCTCCTGAACACCATTGCGAATGAGCGCTGGGATGCGCGAGTCAATGGCTTTTCTGGGCATCTTGGGAGTCTCCCGGCCCCCCTCCGCTTGAAGCCTTGACGTACAGAGGGTGTGGAATTTCTCAAATAGCAAGTCTTCCTCTCGATTAGTGTCGGTAAGAAAAAGTTCAGAGCATCTCCAAAAAATTTCGCCGCAGTTTCCCGTTTGAGAAAGGTGTGGGGTGATAAGGCTTTCTCCTAGCCTTGCCTTGCCTTGCCTCAGCCAGCTTGGTGCCAAGGTCCAAGCAGGTCCTAGCCTCGCGGCGCCCCAGCCTCGTCTCGGTTCAACATACGAGGTACCTCGTAACTTGGTTCCCACGGCACCGCACTGACTGAGTGCGTGCGCGACGGCCTTCAACACTTGACCCTCACGCCTTTCAAAACTCTCCAATGATCCTTATCAGAGCACGCTGAATTCGTGATGTCGCCCGATAGAAAGAAATTGCCCATGCGATCCCCCTTCTCAAGGCATACCTGCTCGAATCTCTTGTCCCTTTGACATTTCATTCAGGCGCAAGGGAAACGGTAGGACATCATGGCAACGAACCTCGATATTTTGTGTTTCTCGTGAGTATTGGAGGCTTCATATGAGCACGCGCTGACTGTGCTAGTTTGTCATTGCTGTCGGCAGCATGTCTCGCACACTTAATCCCGATTTCGCCTGCCTTCGACCGACCAGTTCACACTGTGATCCTTGGGCTTACGGCTTGTTCTTTCGCTTTACCGAGTGCCAGCCGGGCAATACCTCAACTATTTCCTCCTTCAAACCCAAAGCAGAGTCAAGGCCAATACAGCGCCGTCCCCCTAGAAGAACTCGGCGCGGCCAATGGAAGACTGGAATATTCAGATACAACCTCAACGCAACCTAGACATACTGGCAAGGTTCGCATATCGGTGTTGAGCCTGGCAGTTTTCGCCTTGTCTACACGCATAGAGTTGTACCGGCGCATATCTCAGGCGACAGAATGCACTATCGACAGCGTAGAAATGTTTCTACCATTCATGTTGGCAGTCTATGATTCCATCAGAGCCCAGCGCTCGCTTGACTTGCACCAAGAAGAAAAACCCGACAGTTCTGTATACGAATCATTACGTGCAGCTGCCAGAACCTACATTTTAAGACCACGAACTCGGTATCTCCTGTCTATCTTTATGGTCTCGTACGGATGCTATCTCACGCAAGGTCTATGGGCCTCAACCAACTCGACCTATATCTGCACCCTTGCCCTGGGCGAACCGAAGACAATTCCCATGATGCAAGTTGGTGCCCTTGCACTGGATTTATGCCTTGCCGTCATCGCCTATGAGACTATTCCAAAATCTGACGGCAGGGGTCTTTCAGGACGACGATGCGTAGTGCTCTGGAGTTCAGCCATGATTGCCACGTCAGTTATTTGGTCGATCGCGGCTACCGTGGTGTATTTTTTCAAGCCCGAATATCGACTCTGGCTCTTATTCCTTTTGCCGCCACTGGATGTTGGCACAATTTTTGCTATGGCATGCTATGTTTTTCTTTTCTGTGTCCTATGTATATCGTTTCTCCATAGTGTAAGTGCAGGTAGAGTCTTTTGCAGAACTTGTACTGACATCCGCAGATCATGACTTACGGCGCATTGGAAATGACAGCGTACCTTACCGCATTCACCACTACGATACCCGCATTCGAGTTTATTTGGTCACATAGAAATCCCTTCCCTCAAACGCCATCTTCTGCGACGACATTATCCTTTCTCTTGATCTTTTTCGGCCAATGGGCGTATCGTTGGATACAACAGGAATTGGGTGACAAAGACCCGATGCGATCGTCTCGACAATTCTTACTCTTTGTCGTCCTTTGCGTACTCATCTTTCCCCTTTGGTTGAAGAAAGACTATGTCCATTTCCATCCCATTGATATGCTCATGTACGACGCCACGCTCCATCATAATAAGTATCTTGAGACAGTGGGAAGCACTTCCTCGCTCGCAGAGGCCGTTAATGGATACACCCAACGATACAATCGGAACCCTCCCCCCGGATTCGATGTCTGGTTCGAATACGCAAAAAATAGGTCCGTATTGATAGTGGACGAATACGACCAGATCTACCATGATTTGCTACCTTTTCGCGCAATCTCACCCGCTGATCTAAGGAGGCAGACATGGGAAATGGTATCGAATCCGTGGAATGAAATCTCGGGCATCACCATCCGAGACGGAGAAGCAAAAGTGCAAGAGAACGTCCTGCCCACTCATCGATGGATGCTTGAGGGTGTCGCTGTTCTCATCAACAGTTTTGCCCAACACCTCCCTGATATGGACTTGGCCTTCAACTTGAACGACGAATCGAGGGTCGCTGTACCGTATGAGCAGATCAAATCTCTCCGAGAACAGGGCCGAGCACAAGATAAGAGCGGTAGCTCAAGTTGGTCCAATGATCGTGCAGGCGGATGGCTGCCAATTCCCGAAACAGAGCGTACAGAAACTGTCTTTCGCGACAACTCCTGGCGCAACAGTTTCCGTGCCTTTGGCTCAATAGGCTGTCCCCCTTCCTCCTTTGCACGGACTTCGCCACACATTTCATCCCAATCTCACATCTGCAGCAGCTGCGTGGCCCCACACTCTCTGGGCCAATTTGTGGGCAACTGGTCTGATGCAGCAGACATATGCCATCAACCAGATATAGCTCATCTCCACGGCTTCTACCTCTCGCCTGCGGCATTCAAGACCAGCTACCAGCTCATGCCAGTCTTCTCTCAATCTAAACCGCATGCCTACAACGACATCCTGTACCCTTCCGCCTGGAATTATATGGACAAAGTCGTCTACGCGCCGACAAACCCCCAAGGTACACCTGGACAAGAAGTCTATCACGCGGGTTTTCCGGACCTGCCGTTTGAGGAGAAAGAAAACATTCTCTTCTGGCGCGGCGCCACCTCTGAGGGTGTCTCTTCAGACAGCGGTGCCTGGCGCGGGATGGCACGCCAACGCCTTGTGCACATGGCCAACAATCTAACCAACCACCCACACGATGCTGTGACCGTCCTCCTTCCCAGTCCCGCCGACCACTCCAAATATCAGTATCAGACAATCCCTGGGGCCCAAGTCAAAAAGCTTGGCTTGCAAACGGACATTGCAATTGTTGATTTCATCGCCCGGTGCGGTGGCAAAGACTGCACCGACCAATCCCAAGAATTCAATCTGGTAAGCCCCACGGATTTCCAGGCGCATTGGCGGTATCGATTCCTGTTTGACCTCGACGGCGCCGGTTTCAGCGGCCGCTTTTTGCCGTTTCTCTACTCGCACTCCCTCCCGTTCAAGACAGCCTTGTTTCGCGAGTGGTACGACTCCCGCCTCACGGCGTGGCTGCACTTTGTGCCACAGGACATCCGGCTGCACGACGTCTGGAGCAGCCTGGCGTACTTTGCGGGCGTCAACGGGACCATGTTTGGTCACAAGATCTGGTGGAAGCCACACTTGAAGGAGGCCGAGATGATCGCCGAGGCCGGGCGCGACTGGGCGGCCAAGGTGCTCCGCAAGGAGGATATGGAGTGTTACTTTTTCCGCCTGTTGCTCGAGTGGGCGCGCTTGTCGGATGACAATAGGGACGAACTTGGCTTTGTACTATGATCCCTTTTTATTTCTCCCCTGCTTGCCTTTCCCCTTCCTCTGCGGGGGTTGCGAGGAGACAAGAGAGGAGAGGTTTTGTTTTGGTGGGGGGAGTGAGAGATGATGATGACTTATGAACGAAGAATAAGCCGGTTCAGGTCGTGATCGTAGGTTCTGTGTATTGCTGTTGCTCCTGTTGGTGCTGGTGCTGGTGCTGGTGCTGGTGTTGGTGCTGGTGTTGGTGCTGGTGTTGGTGCTGGTGTTGGCGTTGGCGCTTTTGTTCCTGTTCCATCCCTGGGGCTCAATTTGAGATTAATTCCCAATTCGTTCGCATTCACCCTTTGTCCTTCCAAAAGCCTTCGCCTGACTAGCCAGCCAGCCAGCCAGCCAGCCAGCCTTCATAGGCGATCGCAGGATTTTATTGGACCCTTTTTTACTAGGTAGTTAACCATCGGTGAAAAGTAGACTAGCTAATTAACGCCCGCATTTTTCTAATTTTACCTAGGTTTAAGATCTCGCCATTGCCCTCCTTACTGACGCTCTGGTCTTGCGCTTGATTGTACCGTTGTTCTTGGGTCTTACCTTCGCATTTCTCAGTCCTATCAGCGTTCTCACTGTCGTTCTGGCTATGGTTATGGTGATCAGTGGATCTATCATATCACATGTCATATATATTATTATGTCTCATGTATTATGTGTGTTGTATACAAGGATCTCCGGGAACAGATCGTTCAGTATATTTTCCGCGTTGTAGTCGTCGGCGGCTGCGGCGTGGAGACCCATTTCCATAAATTCAATTTCGACTTCCATAGCTGCATTATCCACGGTCATGGTCATGGTCTGGGTATCCTCCGCGAATTGCGCTGGGAGTTGGTACTCCTCCTGGCGCTGGCACTGCTGCTGCTGCTGCTGCTGCTGCTGCTGTTGATGATAGTAGTGGTCGGCGCGGCTGTCAAATTGGTCGTCGAACCAGTCCGTGCCACTGGTGTCTATCAACGGCAGTGGTGGCGCGGGAGGGAATGCTAGGTCATCTGCGCGTGGGCTCGAACGAGCTGTAGACGTGGACACCGGGGCACATAACTTTGTCGCCTGTGTAGGGACGGTGTCATCTGCCATCATCATTGGGTTGGCCATTGTAGTCGCCGTCAACCGCCCATCCGCCTTTGCTTGAATGATCTGCTCGGCCATCTCGCGCGGCGTAACACCCTGAAGTTTCTTGAACACGCGCTGCAAGTGCCACTTGCTCAATCCGACCTGCCCAGCCAATTGGGAGAGGCTCAACGGCTGGCGCTTTTCGGACGCCGAGTGGCAGACAAGAAGCACTGCGCGTTGTATCTTCGTGTGGATGTCATCCACATCCACATCGCCGTCTCGCCCCGGACTGGTCTCAGCAGACACAGAAACAGACACCGACCCAGACGAGACACTTCGATTACCCGGCGTATTCTGACCAGAGACGAATTCATCTCTCAACGCCAGACCTAGACGGGACTCTGGCCGAGGAGATGACGACGACAACGGCGAGACGTCTGCATAAGCAAGCTTCGCCCGGTTCGGCCTACACCGCTTACATGCCCTGAAGCCGGCGCTCTCAGCCTGGACGGCCTGGTCGAAGAACCGTACATTGGCGCGTCGAGCCAGCCGTGCGCGGCAGTCGGGGCGGCAGTAGATCTTGGTGGTGACGACGGCGTAGACGAACGCGTTGGTTGCCTGGGGATCCCGCGCGACTAGGGCCTTCCATCTTGCCGTTTCGCTTCTGTACGTGGACGACGGCGATGTGGAGGGGGAGGAGGGCGAGGTTTGCGACGGCGGGTTGCTAGAGGAGAGATGCGGTAGCTGTGGTATTTGTTGCTGTGGTTGTTGGAGCGGAAGAGATACGGGAGCAGGCCATGGTGGGAGGAGTAACGCTTCCGTCGCCGTCGCCGTCGCCGTTGCCATTGCCATTGTCGCGGTCGTCATGGTCATTGCGGGCGAGGAATCAAACGTAATGTCGTCGTCGTAAGGGTATGAGAAGGGGAAATTCATTGTGGCGGGACTGATGGTGGTGAACATCGCTGCGGCAGTGTCCCGTGTCTTGTTGTGTCTGAGGTGCGCTCTCTCTCTGTCTCTCGCCACACACACACACTTTCTCTCTTCCTTTCCCTCCGTCTCTCCTCTTCAGGGATAATCGGGATTCTTGCTTAATTACTTCCCCTTTTCCCCAAAGGTTTCCGCTCCAGTCAAAAGCCGTTAACTCACTCTCTAGCTCTCACGAGTGCCAAAAATCCAGATGGGGTCCGTCTGGGAGTAAGTTCAACAGTGGACAATGATATATCCACAAGGGGGAGGAGACAGAGACATATCATTTGCAGTAGGTGAGGAATTCGAAGGACAAAGAGTTAGAGTCAGTTGTCAGTTTAATATCACATGGTCGGTGAAAATCGGGGCCGATTCTGATTGGTGACATCCATAGCAATGTCATTCTGTGCGTCTTTTCCTCCACGGAGCAAAGACAAGTTGAACAATCTTGCGACTCCTTATATATATATATGTGTGTGTGTGTGTGTGTGTGTATGTGTGTGTGAGAGAGAGAGAGATTGTATGTATATTATCAATCTTTCTCAGCAGGACTTCGCAAAAGTAGGTAGCTGAATCCCAAACGTCTTCTGCCGCCATCTCCTGGCTGGAAATCAATCGCGTGCGCTATGCTGCCATGTGTCCTGTCCATTCAATCCATGAAATATGCTGACGAAGTACTCCATGCCCTCCCTGCTCTCTTCTTAATGCAATACGCCTGCCGTCTTTCTTTTATCTCCTACTGCTCGCTTTACTCCTCCTGCTCCTCCGGCTTTCCACCGAGATCTGGCTTACACTATCCTCCGGCCTGACCTCTCGATCCGTGACATCTAACTTGGCCAACTCCTTCTGTTTGGAAAGCATGCTCGCTGTCTCCATCTTGTCGTCCTCCTCGATGATCTCTCCTCCATCGCGCAGAGGATTGAGTTTGCCGATAATCGTCCTTGGCCCGGAAAGACCAAAGTTCGACCTCGCCGACACGAAGCTGGCCTTGCCGACGTCGGAACCAGCCCATGTTCCCGCACGAGATGGCGGAAGCGGATACTCCGCAGGGTCTCTTCGACTATGCCTTGAACTGGCTCGACTTGCTGGCTTTATTGTCACCTGGGAGTCGTGACCGGAGACATAACTTGCTGCCTTGGATCCTGCTTGCGACTGGTGCGCAGAGACATGACTTGGCGCCTTGGATCCTGCTGCCTGCGACGGGTGTGCGGAGACATGACTTGGTGCCTTCGACCCAGCCTGGGACTGGTGGGCTGAAACATGGCTTGGTGCTTTGGATCCTGCCTGGGACTGATGTACAGAAACGTGACTCGCTACCTTTGATTCTCTATGTGAGTGGTGTGAAGACACACGGCTTGAAGACCGGTGTGTCGTCTCCGTCACATGAAGCACCGTCCTGGCTTCTTCTTCCTCTTCTTCTTCCTCTTCTTTCTCCGGCGCGGTATCCTCAAACTCATCACGCCGACTTCTTCTCGACCTCGTGCTGTGTCGAGACTGTGATCTTGACTTCGGCTGGTCCGCCGACGAACGACCCGTGAGACTTCTCCCAAGACGACCTAAACTGCTTGCGCGGGATCTCGAACGGCCGCCACCGGACGCAGCAGAAACCTTAGATTTCACCGTCAGTGCAGTCGGGGCTCGGTAACTCGTCGGCGGTGGCGCGTTTGTGCTCTTTTTCGACTGACGTGACGCTTTCGACGAAGCATGCGACGCGACGTCAAAATCGCGCTGGACAACCCCAAGGCCGACTCCGGAATCCATGCTCACTCTCCTCGTCACCGAAGCAGGGCGGACTGTGGACGCAGCGTCGGGAAAGGTCTGAACAGTGGGTGCCGGAGGATCGTGATCGTACATGGCGATGAGTTTTTGCTCACCGGATTCATGGGGAGTGTACGTATATGCCGAAGGGGCCGGCTCAATGGCCCGATAACCCATTCCCGCGTAAGCCCCCTGATACTCGGAATTGGCAGTCGAGTATTCCGCACGCATCACTTTGACAGGTTCGGTAACACTGCGGCCGGTGACGGAAGGGCGTGGAGGAGGTACGAACTTGTGCTCTTCACGATCGTCACGAGAGTCTTCCTTTGATCGGTTGCTGAAGGCGTAGGTTAAGGCGGCGCCGGCGGCGACGCCGAGCAGGGTGCCGACAATGGCTTCACCTGCACCACTGCCACCGCCCGTTGAGTTGTTACCTGTCGATGGCTTTGGCGGGGACGAAGAGATGAGGTTGGGTGTCATACTGTTGACAAGGTCGCGGGCTACATTAGCGGCATTGCGAGCCTCATTGATCAACGACCCAAGAACATCCCCAGAAGGCTTTGGCTTGGGTTGCGTATTTTCTGGAGGTATACTGGGTGGGCTCGAGATATACGACGCGGCTTGAGATGCGACCTGAGATGGTGCTCTGACGCTTTTGGGAGGTGCCACAGTGGAAGGTGCTCTCACGCTCGCACTCCGATGAGACACCATGCTTCTCGCATCCGCATTTTCCTTGTTGACTTCGTCGCCGAATCCAGGTCTGTAGACGGCCTCAATGGAATTGCCATCAAAGTCAATCACCGCGGCCGAGTAATATCCCGCGGCGTCCCGTTGACATGGTTCCCCATGGATCTTCCCACCAGCCTTGAGGGCGGCGAGGAAGAAATCTTGCACCTGTGCCCGAGATGCGGCAGGGAAAGCAACGTGCGCGGCGCCCGCGGGCACGCCAGGAATTTCCTGTGTGATCCAAAAGTCGGCCGGGGTATTCGGTGGGGATGCGGGGCCAAACCCGATTGTGTGCTCTTGTCGGCCGCGAAAGACATAGTTGAGCGGTTGGAGGGCGGAGAGGAAGAACGAAGTCGACGTCGGAAGGTGGCTGACGGTGAGGGTAATAGAGGAAGGCATGGGATCGTAGAGACAACAGGCGAGCGATGAGACTGGGAGCGAGAAGACGCTAGAGAAAGAGGGATGTGGTGGTTGGCGAGCTATATGGTCCTCTTGCTTTTGCTGGATGGAGAGCAGTCGTTCGGTGTCCTTGTGAGTTTCAATAACGATGAGTCTGATTGGACTTGGCAACCTGTTTGTCTGGAGAAGTGATATGGTCTGGAGACCTGGCGAGACCGTGTACTCGCAGTTTGGATTCAACGATCTCCCACGGACTGTGTCACCGTGAAAATGGATCCCTGCACAAAAGTGAGAAGATGAAGAGGGCTTTGAACCTGTACAACGAAAGCTAAAGAGAAGGCAGTTCCAGGTGACAATGATGCTGTACTTGTTTATAAGATCCGTTGGTAACGAGAGGAGTCGAGCAAAAGATCAGCAACGGGCAACCAAGATGACAAGTTCCCACCGGCGGTTTGTTCGCTACAAGTCTTGTGATGATCAGCCATCCATCGGAAAACAATTCTTTCCATCCATGAAACCATAGACATGGGGTCAAGCGACCCAACGGCGGGATCTGGGAGCGCCGATGGGGGTACCTGCGCCTTGCTTCCTGTAGACGCCTGACTTCTACCCACTAACTCCTAGTCCCATCTGACATGGAAAGACAATGCTTGATGCATGATGGGTGAGGCGAGGAGAGGCTCCAGATGTCGATGGTGGCGAACCAATCGAGAAAGGCGGGATGGCAATGAAACGGTGTGGCCCGTGGATGGCGGATGCAAATGCCACGTCGAAGCACTGCGCTTGGCTTTGGGATGTGTGGGTCGGGGGAGGAAGAGTCCGGGAGAAAGTGACCGGAATGGCAATGGAAGAGGGAAAAATGGCCCAATTGTGAATATCTGTCGAGGCTTGATTGGGAGGTGCAGGGCAAACGCAGGGTGGGGATGGTGATGGCGTCGGGGAATTGCACGTTGACGACGATGGCTGCGATGGCTTCTCGGCTGGGACAATGAGGAAGCAATGGCGACAAGTGGTTGGTGTCTGTTCGGCCCGTCGCGAATCGTTCGGGCGTCAATGCAGCGGCTAGTGATGGTGCCTTGTAACTGCTTGGACGGTTGACCAGGTTGGGTGTCAGTCAACTTCTTACTCAACACTCACACTCACCCTTCCTCTCGCCCTCGCCCTCAACTCACGGGTATTCTCGACAAAGAGCGTGACACGACCTGCATAGAGCTACCGCGTCCTGACTCAACGTCTGTGTCTGCCTTGGGCTGCCGAGAATGTGCCTTTTCGTCTGTGCCAAAGGTAGTCTGATTTGTCCAAGCTCTTCTCATCAATCGACCTCATTGCCTCTGTTGTGGGAGCATCAAGTCGAAGCCACGCAGCAGCAGCAGTGGCGGCGGCAAGATGAGGAACTGGTTCAAGTGTTCTGGATCCGCGAGAAAGGATTTGAAGCACCACGTATTGGACAGGATGTCTGAGGGTACCGAGTAGAGATGGACACGAGGAAAGTTTCAACAAGTCTCGTTTCCCAAGAGCAGAGCTCAAGTTACACATGTTGCAAAGGCCTACAGCGTACGGCCATCACGTGACCCCAATACTCATCTTCATTCGGCCACGCTATTATTATGTAGCCCTTCCAAACAAGAAAATTATAGGGAGGTAGATGGAGGGAGCATGGACTTGAATAGATGATAGTATAGAGATACTGAGATGGTTACAGTAGATGCACCCAGTTCCTCATCCAGCTGACTGCTGGGCAAGCGGCGTCCTTCAATGTCCGCTTTCTGCTATCCGGCGGACAAGCAGAGATGTCCGCATTTTTATCAAACACGATTCGCCGAGACCGGCACCTCTCCTCCCAACTTTTGTTCATCGCTCATTGTTCTGACATCTTGTGGATAGCAATGTAGGGCAGGTTGACATGCACCTACGTGTATCTCAGACGAAGAAAAGAAATCTCGCCTTGAGGTTTTGTTGAACCATGTTATGTCTTGTTGTGAAAACAAACGCCAGATCCAACACTCCCCCAATGCAGCACAAACCGTCTGGAGGTGACATTCACGCAACCTGGCTTTGATGTTGTAATCGAAACCAGGTCGCCAGAATTGCCCGCGGTTGGAGAGAGAGAATAGAGTCCTGCGACGAGAGATCAGTCTTTTGAGCCATTACCTTGTTTGAACAAGTCCTGCTGGCATTTTTAGATGATTTTCCAAGCATCTTCGCAGGCGTGGCAGAACTTGCTGCAAGCAATACTTGCGCTGAGGCTGTAGTTGCTGATACTGATCGATTCGTCCTTGAACGCATCGGCAAAGTCATCCTTGCCCTTGGCCATGGCACCGACAAAGACGCATATGCTCTCGTTGGGACCCAGGGTATCGACGTAGTCGCGGACTCGGACGACTTCAGCGTCGAAACTCAAAGTGACTTTCCGGCAGTTTGGTGGCAGATGGTCTGTAATGGGGTTCTTGATGACCTTGAGCAGTTTCTCCTGCGAATTTACCGATCGAATAGACAGTCTATGCAGCAGTTGGACCATGAGACCGGCAAATCGCTTGAACGTTCTTGGAATCCGGACGGTGGGGCTGACTTCGATCAAAACGCCCTTTGCTGTGTGAATGTAGATCTGCAGTTTACCGGCCTTGTTGATGGGAGAGTCGAGGAGAGTAAGAAGGCACTGGACGTTGAAGTCAGCTCGCCACTACAAGAGGTCCAGTGGGATATATAGCCACCTGGTGAGTGATGTCGGGTCTGGCATCACTTATATCTCGACCCATCTTCCGCATGACACCAATATGCTCGTCACTGTTCAAGAGCGAATACTTCTCCTCTTTCCCTCCGGCTTTTCCGGTGTGTGCAGCTCGGTACGTTTCGAGGGAGGCATTCGACAATACCACAATCAGTCTCTTTGTGTCTTTGTCGGTCGCGGCGATAGGGACATGTTGTTCGGCGATGAGTCGAGGAAGTTCGGGCGGGGGGAGAGACTGCGCCCCTGTAGGAGGATGTGAGTCAAACGAGACCATGAAGCCATGGGATGTTGGAGAGGCTGGAAATCCTCCATTGTAGGGGGAGGGTCTTTGCAAATCGACCCTGACAACTTGAACGTACTCGAGCGCTTTCTTTTAACGCCAGCCTCAACGGACCCGGAAGGCATGTTTCCGGCTGTGGTTGCGGGAAGGCAGGGTGAGGCAGCGAAAGATGCAGGAGGGATCGAGCTCGGATTGTCCTAGATTCGTGACTCTGCGTAAACTTTGGAGCGAGTGATAAGTGCTGGTAGGAGAAGGGCGGAATATGGGTTGATCAAGAATATACTTGGAAAGGCACCAACTCCTCTGAAGATGGTGGGAGTGAACGGCTTGTAGCAAGACTCGGTTCTCGGATTGGAGTCGGTCAGATTTTTTGCACACGATCAAAATTTGGTCTCGGCTTCGGCCTAACAAGAAGTAGCCCACACTTGCCCACACCAACTGACCAATGTTGCCGCTGTCAGGCCCCCGCACTGGAAATGGCTTCCGCCGCCAGCGGAGCTGCTGGGGTAGCGATGCAGCTACTGGGTACTGAGAATGTCACCGAAATGTCTCCGTTTGGAATTGGTGTCACCTCTCCTCACTTCCTATACTTGTAACAGGTATGTTACAGTACTCTTACCTTCCACTACGCCCTCCCAACCCAATATGCCCAACAACGTACTGCCTCTGCACCCATCTTGGCCTCGTCTCGGGACACTTTCCCATCAGCATGTCTATTATAACTTCCTCTCTTGTCGTATTGTCAGTCACACGGCATGAGAGCAATAAAATATAAAAAAAAAATTAAAAAAAAAAAAAACAACGACGACGACGACGACGACGACGTGCAGTGTGAGTTGTGGAGAGTCGCGAAGAACCGCTTTTAAAGCCAAGGGTGGGCAGGATCAGGCTGGTCCCGTCGCTGGCAGAGCTCCATGAGGGAGAGGTAAAGGTAAGTGTTACCGCCTGACAACGCAATCCAGCCTTCTCTTCCGTGTTGCAACACCATCTACAACTGCTTCCTGCAAGCGAAAGCGACAAAGGGCCGTTCCAAACAATTTTGCAACTCCCTGGATCAATTCGCAACTGTACACCATACAAGTGTGGACGACACACAGTTGCAATAATCAGCAGGTTCGAATTCATTCTCAGGACTCCGAACACTTTCCCGCTGGAAAATTTCCTACCCCAGGCTTCAACGCGGATACTCTGCGAATCTCGATCCGACAGCGTGCCAGACGATACATCAGCCTGCCTTGCAAAATGGCCCCCCCAGGTCATCAATACTTCCAAGAATTTCAACATAATCTTTCAAGAGATCTGAGTGAGCTTCTTCGTGCGATCAGGAACCTTGAGGCTCGCTTTGAACCCGAGCACAGGCGGAAGTGGTTCGTGCATGCCACTATGTAAGTCCGACAATGCGCTCACGAGACGGAATGCAGATTCGTTGCTGGTGGAATGGGCGCCGACTTCTATTTCTTTCGGCAGTATTTTTTCGATCCACCTTTCCACTGCGACTCCTACCCTTCTTTTAACATCCCCAAAGTCGAGATGGCCGCGCTGGACGTTGGCTCAAGCCTCACCTTTCCATTTGCCATCTGGAGGATCTTGCAGTGTAAGAGACAGTTGTCGTGCACGAGTCATCTAGAAAGAGAGTTGAGCTACTCTTACGAGCGCGTTGAAGAGGGAGAGCGTGTGAGCTATCCCGAACTTGAGACATGCATTGATAATGAGACCTGGCAAAACGTGTCTCGGCAAATATTGGATCGGTGATGACGGGAGGTCGACAATTGAGCTCACATGGGCCAATGGCTTCCCGCCACGGACATCTTGAGGATATGTCCATTACCTCGAAAGCAGTCTCTGAAGTCGTTGAGTGTACCGACCATGATAGGGTTGAGGAAAAGGTGAGACATGTACAACGTGCGACTTATCGCGGTTAAAAGCATTGAGTGAACAGGATGTGTGATAGCTTGGTCCGTCTTTCACGTAGGGTGTCGGGGCTAAGAGATCTCAAGCCCTGTTTTTATGAAAAGCCAAAGTTGCGAGACTTGAGATCCCTGGAACCGGTCTCTCGCTGACGGATGTGGAAGATCGAAGCATTGCTCGAAAAGTGATACACCTAGGTAAGTTGTGAGTGTCCAATACCGTCAAGGGCCCCAAATTGGTATTGGGTATAGGTGTCTAAAGTTAACGAACGTTGATATTGTGGATACAGAGGAAGAGGCATGACCAAAAGGCTTATGTAGAACTCCGGTAATGCTACCTAGTCTCGCTAGGTAATATACGGACTACATTAAAATATGGGACAATATTATTGTTATGCGAATGTCTACATCGTGAAGACCTGCTATCCCTACTAAATACGGAGAGCACTCTAATATGGACTAATTATTACCCTGTACAAGTCACCAGATCACCACATAGTATGTCGAACAGGTCGTACTTGTCTACGGAGCTTGAGATACAGCCAGGTGAGAGCCCACCCATGTCTAGGGGCGGCAAGGACCGAAGGCAAGTACAAGGGCGTCAAGACAAAAAAAAGAAAGGACAGGACTCGACGAAAGGAGTTTTGAGGCAATTGAATGAGCCTCTCGGGGGAGGCTCTCTCCTGCTTTTCACACCACCATTATAGTATCTATAGATTCTCTCATAACCACACCTTCTCCCAGTCCCGCGCCGTCGTCCTCGTGGTCGTCGTGAGTATAAAATCGAATTTAAGGGGACGACCGCCGTTGTCAACTGTACCCCAGGTCCTGGAAAGCAGACAAAAACCCAAACACCTTGAGCCTGGCCCCCCATGATTCAAACAAACGTGTATGTCTCCTCGTAATGTATCGGGGGTCAACCGGGCGTAACTTGGCCAATACTCCGTACAAATCTCCGACCTTCCATGTATCTCATTAGACGACAACCACGGCCGGCTGTGCCGCAGGTCTTTCGTATTTGGTGATGATCCACCAGGCGTCTATACACATACAACTCGATATCAGATCAGTTCCCCCCAGTGGATATCCGAATCTGGCTGCAGAAGAACGCAAGGGTGCCAAGAGAAAGAAGGCACTGGGAGACTTACGAAGCACACCCGGCAACCACCCCAGAATGCTTAGCAGGATATTGATGATAAAATTCGAGTCGCACCCGGTTTTGAAAAACACGGCCAGCGGCGGCAGGAAGAGCGCGAGGAAGTACAGGCACACATCGCTCTATTGCAGCAAGGTAAGCAAGGCACAAGGTTAGTTACACAATGGAGTCCAGAATAGTGGTGTCAATCAGTGGGGTGGGGGAAAGGGGCTCCAATTGATCGCATTCGCAGAAAAGGAAATAGGAGGGAGACACTCTTCGCGAAGAAAAGACAGGGGGATTGAAGCTTACAGTGGACGACGGCGGGCGGGCCATTGTGTTTTTCGTTGTGTTTTTCTTCTCTTCTCTTCTCTTCTCTTCTCTCTCGTCGTTGATTTCCTCGCTAGCTTGCTTGCTTGTTGTTGTCGTTGCTGTCGTTGCCGTCAACGTCGGCGGTTTGTTCTTCGTATTCTGATGTATGCTCTACCTGGATTTTCAGTGGGGCTTTAACGGGGGCTTTCAAAACTCGGTTGCAATCACTCAGCTTCAGGATGAAGCTAATCCCATACATATATCAAAATGCCACGGATCCTGAGTACAAAAATGTCACTTGATCCCTCAGGCGATCGATGTTGGGCTTGGCCGGGGCGGAGTCAGCATTACGTACCCAGTAGACGCATGGCCAATCCAATAAGCGAGTTCCGTTCCTTGGCGCAAAAACAAGAATTTTGGCGCCTAAAGGTTAATTATTGAGCTTGTTTTGGACGGTTCAATTTCCACCTTGACAGTGGACCCTGCTCACAGCCGCCACGCTGAGGTCAAAATACGTCAATCATCTGTCCAGGGGTCTACGTATGCTGGTGGCGCCGTCATGATCAACCTGCTCTAAGTCCCTAAGGCTCGTGGCTCGTAGGAAGCATGTCAGACCAGACTAGCCTTCTGCTATCTGTACAAAATATACCTCTTCCCATGCTTTCTCTGCCCGTGATCGTCATCCACTCAAACAAGTCGCTGATGGAAAAAGAAGTATGAATCTTTTGACAAATCCCAACGCCGCCTCCTTTTGTGCGTGTAAACAGAAGACATATGCTCTTGGCGACACGGCTCTGATGTGGAACTGCTTCCTAGTGTTGACCCGCGACCTAGTAGTAATTGAATGGGCTCTTCCGTTGGAGGAGCAGTTTTCGATGCTCCACCCTTTGTCAAGTATCCTTTTCTCTGCTGTGGCCTGTTGTTCTTCACCAATGCTGCGCCTGTCCCAATTGCTTCCTGGATCCCTCTTTAATGAACAATGTGGCCCTTTGGATGATATGACTGAAAACACAAATGAAAATGCCGATGCTCTCAAAAGACCGATTGCGCCCTTCGTTCAAGTCGTAGGAGACGTTTCATTCTCCGAAGATGATGAACATTGCGGAATGACACTCAAGGTTAACGGTCAGATTTCCCAATCTGCTGATCAAGCGATCTCATCACGCTATCCTGAAGGGGGGACTGGGGCTGGATCAGATCGCTCGCTATCCGCGGTGGCTTTTCGTTGAACTCTCTCTCCATGTCGGCATCCCGATCCCGCAGCGAGTGGGCCTCGTCGTCGGTGTACGAGTCTGGTTCAAAATCAAGCGGTTGGGTCGGAGGACTTGACATGCTTGTGTCATCTTCTCCCATTTCTGTCGCCGTTGCCACGGTTGAAGGCGAAACTTTGCGTACACCTCGTATTGACGAGCCGATGTGCACAGGAGATGGCGGTAAGTCAGCCGCATGATATTCTCGTTCTTCTTCAGCCTCATTTGGTGGACTTAACGCCCGCTTCTTTTCCCTTGATCCTCTGCTTTCTCCGGCCTCCGTGACAACAGGTAGCGTCATGGCGGCCCTTGCATCCTCCGCCGTTTTCAACGTCCGGTCAGGCTTCTCCTCCTCGTTTTCACTCCAGCCTTTCTCAGACGGCGTAGCTTTGTCGGTTTGCTTGTGGGCTTTTCTCATGGTCCTTTCCACAGCTGGGCCGATTGGCGGAGAATGCACGGTAGATGAGTCGGGACCAGGGGAAGAAATCGCGCCTGATGGCTGTCCGAGATTCTCCCCAGGTGAAGTATGTATTGGTACTTGTTCCCAAGCTCGATGACTCTCGCCGGTTTCTCGTCTCTTGGCTTCTTCCTGGGTCATGGTTATCCCGGTGATGAAGTTGATGAATCGTTCCCCGTATGCTTGTGGAGGAATAGCTGATATCTGCCCTCGCGGGGCTGAAAGACCCTTCCAGTAATGCTCAATTCTTTTGATCATACCATACTGTGGAAAATGTTAGTGGCAGCGCCGCAGCGAGGAGATGGACTTCAACTTACGTGAGTCAGACAGTCAATGATGCCAAGGTAGTAAACCATTTCAGCACCTCGCCCATCTTCATGCGTAGCCCGAATACCGCCGTCATAGCTGTAGAAGATGCGATCACGTCTTTCATCCCCCGAAGCCATCTCAGACGGCATCTTGGCACTCACCAAGCCCATAGGGACGGGTTTCTCTTTCTTCAGCGTCTGCCTCAGTTCTCGCGCTTTTCTCGCATTTTCAAGTCGGGAAGGTGTTCGTGTCAACACCGACGGTCCATACCCGTCCTCGTTGCTCTCTCCACCAGGCTGGAAAACTTGCAGCGTGTTCTCTCTCAAATTCTCTTCGTTACCCTTCTCCAGGTCGTGCACACCAACCAGTAAGGAGTAGTCCATGATGTGGAGCCTTTGCAAGAGAGCAACGTCTCTTTTCATCTGGTCCAGGAATATCTGCCGTATCCGCGCATCGAATTCGAGGTGCAGCCCTCTCCTCAGCCAATTCATGTCTTTCAGCGTCGCTCTAGGGTTGTTGACCAAGTCTTCCTCACTAAAGTCTCTCCCAACGGTCGATCCCTTCAGGTCAAACATCTGATGGATATCTCGGTGCGGTGGAAATAGATTGTTCATGACCACAAAATGGATCTTGCGCCCGTAGGGTATCTTGACCCGATGCAAACCGTAAAACTGACTTATTAGCGTGTTAGGGTTGTCCAGCACATGCCGATAATAATCCCTCAAAATCTTCCTGAGCAACTTATGCTCGGCGTGATGAATCGTCTTGATGATGTATTTATAGTCCCTCGAGAAGTAGAAGAATGAGCCCGACTTGCCGGGACTGCCCAACTCGGAGAGGATATACTTGCTAGTGAGACTGACAAGATAATCGGCCGGATCCAGACCAAAGATGGCCCTGAGGTGTCGAAAGACCCAGGGACTGTAGTCTTTGAATTTGAAGTCATATTTCGCGCTGGGCGTCAACTCGTTCCCGGTGATATCGAAACTGAATTTGTGCTTTGCATCAAAATCGGCATCCGTCAATTCCCGGTCCATCTTTGCGTTCGTTCTCGACACAGTAAATCGAATTCCAGTCAACATGTTGTAAGCGGTAACCCAGTTGACGTGGCCCTCCTCGACCTTCTTGCCGACAATAACGCGATTATCGTCCTCATCCTCTTTTCTCTTTCGCCTGCTTGCTCTTTTCTGCTTGATCAGCTCCGTCCAACGTGCTGCATCTTCATCCGGGGGTACCTCGTCTAGATGAGCATCCGACTGCATCGACCGAGTTGTCCTACGAACCAGGCCGAGTGATGCCCTTCTATGCCTCACTATAGATCCGTCATACTGTTCTCGTGTGGGGGAGAAGCGGCCAGTAGCAGTAGAGAGCGCCTCTTCAGAAGGGCCGCCTGCGAAGGAAAAGTCGCGTGAACTCCGGCCGACAACGCCAATACCCGCTGCTTTCGGAACTTGTAGGGTATGACGATGCGTGAGTTTCGGGGGCTCAGGGGTCGGGGATAATTCAGGATGTCGATCTTGTATCGAAGCAGCCGGCGACATGGCAGGCGGAGAGGAGAAGCGTGAAAGTGCGGGAGCGGGAGCGGGAGCGCGAGAGAGGCCGGCGGACGTCGTCTCCCCATCTACTCGCGCAGAATCCGGGGCCGTTGAAGCGGTGACCATATGATAAGGATCGTACTCGGGCTTTGCGGGAGGGATGTTCGTTTTCAATTTGCCCAGTTCTGGCGTCGCCTGCGGCCCGGGAGATTGTACGAGGACGCCATTAGTTTGCTCGTCATATTGCTCTGCCGCACTCTCAACACTGGATAACTTGGTCAATGGACCTTCTGATGACACGGGGCTCCTCGAGAGTTGTTCGGTGTACTTTGCTGCGGCGCCTGTGTTTGCCGAGTTTGTGCTGCCGGGCTTGGATTGGGTTCGCTCTCGAGGGGGTGCCTTGACGTTGCCATTAGGCATTCCATTTGTCAAGGAGCTGTGACTCGTGTTGTTGCGCAGGTTCTTGATCTGATCCAGTCTGTGTTCGGACAGTCCCGTCTCGACATCTGTTCCGTTTGTGTAGGTAAAGACGCCACTGATGGTCTTGTCATGAGACTTTCTCGGGGGGCCCTCCAACGAAGAGGAATTCGAGTGGACGCTGTTGGAGACGACGGACAGAGGAGGCTCGGATGCCACAGATGGCATTTCAGTCTCAGGCAGTTGAACAGAGACCTACGAGGGGAGGACGACTGTGTGCATTGGCCGCAGGTCACCGGTGCGTAGAGGGAGTAGGATGATCGGAGGTCATATCTCGGGGAGAGGTTCGCTGCTTGTCTGGATGTGATTGGACGTCTGCAAGTAATATTGGGATCAGGATCAGGACAGGAAGGGAACTAGCAATGCAGCACCGAAGTCAGCGTATGGAGTATAGACTGCTGACTGGTATAGACACTGTGGTTGCTATGATGTTGGCTGTCTGCATGCGAGAGTGTCATCTCCCGAGGTGGATAGGAAAAGTCATTGTGGTAGTACGGAGAGCCTACTAACTGGGTAACCGGGGGTGCGGTGTGGGTGGTGGCTGGTGGCTGGTGGTGGTGTTTGCCAGAGGCCAGAGGCCCAATATCGACTTGTTCCAGTGCCCACCGCAATATGCCAAGCCATGATGTACCGCCCGGGGCCCAATCTCCCCTGCGGCCCTGCCCACCAAGGCCGCCGAGCGCCCACCAATGCCAGCCCTTAAGCCTGGCCGGTGCTGGTTTTTAACTGGTGGTCCTCCATTTCTGCCTGATATACTTAACCCAGGATTACGAGTCCCTGTTCTCGTTAAGGGCACCGGCAACCCATAGTTTGCCGGCTCCTTACAGCCATCATCCAGCCCAGTCCCCAGAACCTGGGTTCCTACAGTATGCACCCGCAACCCGGTTCTATTTCAAAGAAACAATTTATTTTGTTTCTCCGCCTTCTGTTGTTGTGGAATCAATCTTCATTCGTGACCACTGCCCAATCTTCGATTCTACTCAGCCTTGTTTCATTGGAACCGATGATCTTTACATAGCAGACGAGCGGAAGTCACAGCTAATGGTCATCTCACTAAACGCTCGCCAAAGCCCGCCATCAGTCGAGCTCGTTAGCTTTGCCTGAAGAGTGCAGGCGACCATCAGCAGATCCGAAAATGACGTAGCCTCGCCCACGAGCCTCGCATTGCTACTACTGGGTAGGCCCAGTGTGCCCCCTTTAGAAACCTTGGAAGTGCTTTCCATGTCCAATCCATACTTGGAACAAAATGGACTTTGGACATTCGGTCACATTAGGTATTTCATAAGCTTCTCAAAGCGCTGAAACTAATATACCTTGTCATTGTAAAATGTGGCAAAGCTCTAGAAAACAGGCTTCCCTGCCTTAAGCACAAGACACTGGCCACCTGGACGCCTTGCTTTGATATCCACACTATTCTGACATGGATGTCCGTTGCATTCCCCATTGAGCGGATCCAAAATGTTTCTCGCTGTATTATGAATTTTGGGATGGCCACACGTGCTACGCTCCAGGCATCAGCATCTTTGCGACGTGGACCAGCGCCTCTGTGCCTTCTCAACCGCTGCCTTGCGTCCCGTTGGACGTGGTCAATTCAGCATTGGGATAATACCACGCTGTGACCGCAATAATGACATATACAATCTGCATGCGATCATGGTCAGTTATGGTATTTTTATTACGAATGAGTTTGGGGAGACATACCACAAGCAGGCCGCCCTCCAGGTAGTTGGAAGACCCATCCCGGAGGAAATTGCCAACTACCAAAATAGACATGACCAGAAGCACGACCATGAAGATCTCGAAGTTCAGATCCATTGGTTTACCAAGACCCCAACCCACGATGACAACAAGAGGGGCGTTGAACAGGGCTGTCTGGATCGAAGGCCCAAGACAATGGTAGAGAGCAAAATTCTGAAGAGGCTGCGGTTAGCCACTTTTGTTCTTCTCCTCCTTAGGGGAAAAGCCTTACGATTTGGTTGTCATATGCCTCGTCAACGGCAGTCAAATGTTCGGCAGCCTTCTCCACCAACGGCACAAGGATCAGGCCCAAAAAGGTGTCCGGAACTCCATTCTCAACGACAAACTCGATCTCCTCCACGAGGAAGACAGCAATGAGGGAAATGAAAGTCAACGCCAAGACAATGGCCATGATGCACTCGGTCATGGTCAACTTTGGCTTTTTGAGATCTCTGTGCCTGTCTCTGTCAGCTTCTTCATCAGCCTCCAGGACTTCTTGAAAGATGTTGTCGTGCGAAAGTGAATTGTAAAGCAGGTAAAGCGCAAAAGCAACAATAAGGATGACAGAGACGCCGTGGCTGATGTTGAGAGTATCACTGCGCAATAGTGATGCCGTATAACCTTCTTCACCGTCAGGAACAGTGCTGCGACTCAAGGAAGCATAGAAGGCGCTGGGGATCAAAAGGGCAAATCCAGCAACCAAGAGCAACCCCGATCCGGCTTCACTAATGACGGCGTGGAATGTTTGTTCCTTATGCACCAAGCCGCCTACGAGGAAGCAGGATCCCAGACACAGCAGGAGGTTGGTAAGGATGGACCCAAGAATGGCGGCTTGGATCACTACAATCTTATTGCCAGTTCCGATCTTGCCAGTTCCGTTGTCTTTGGCAATCAGGACCATGAACAAGACAATTTCCACGACGGATCCCAGAGTCGTCTCGATGAGGATGCCCATTACCTTGGGTAGTTTCCTAGCCAGCTCTTGTCCAGCGAACCCAAGCAAATTGGCAGCGGGCACCATGGCGATGTAGTTGATAGCAAAAGTCCACAGATGGTGGTCGCCATGGACGAAGTGGAGGGCAATGGCTGCGGGAACAAAAGGCCATAGGACGTTGACCCAACTCGAGACAGCGCAGGACGAGGTCCATATGATTTTGAGAAATTGAACCGGGTGAATTCCACTGCGACCACTCTCTCCATCGGGATGAATGCCTCTTGTTATCAGGTGACCGTTGTGATTGTATTGAGGAAGGAGTCCTTCGGCAGCAGGGGTGGCCGACGAGACATTGGTGGAATCGTTGGAGCCGCTTGGCTTTTCTGCGACGGGTTGGGAGGTTGGAGCTGTATCTGTGGCGGCACTAGCCTTGTTCTTGCGGTTGAACAGGCCCATGGCCAAAGGAAAGAGGCTGTGATTTGTGAATATTCGAGAAGGCGAGATTAGACCAGGTTCGAATTTCGACAACGAGGTTCCAGTGGGTGCTGCAATGGGTGAGGACGGCTTGGAGGGAGGTCGGTGGAGAGACTGCACTGCTGGGTTCACAGGGACATGTTGGATGAACGAGAGGAGAGGGGAGTACTGCGTAAGAAAACAGCAAAGAGACAGGAAGAGTCGGTGTGAACAGGAATCAAAGACGGAAAGGTGAAGTGAGTAGGTAGAGCGAGTCGAGGGAGTGACGAAGGAAGGACTGAAGCTGCAATAAGAGTGTTTCAAGAAAAGGGAAGGGAGACAGCAAAGGTGCCCGCCAAATGAGAGGCAGTGACAATGACAACACTCAGATTAATCAAATCCGAGAAGCAAACAGGCAAGGAAGCCTGGGACAAGAGTGCTTGGCCCTCGAAGCTCGTTGGCTTGGTCATGTCTTGTCGTGCATTGGCATTTTTGTGTCGCCCTCAGCTCGAGACAAAAAGGAATGGAGGATTTGACTCACTGAGGGTGGAGGATTGAGGGATTGTGGAGAATTGAAGGAGCTGGCCTCGCTGAGAAACAAGCTGAGAACAAGCTGGGAACAAGTTGGGAACTGATGTGCAACAACAATGATCCGCAAGGGGCTTGGCGTGCTTGGCTTCGCTGGGTCGTTATTTTAGGCTCGGCGCGACTCCGGCTCGAGTCACTAGACTGTGAACGGAAGCATTACACTGCGTACCGTCGACTACCAGCTCGCCAGCACAACGCGCAGGCAATGCCTGGCGCCTTGGCCGGCTGGCTCAGCTCGGGCTTCCCATTTTACGTGTATACTCCGTAAAATAAAGCTCACCAGAAGACCAGTCGAGGGGGACAGACAACGTGAGCAGAGATAGAGCTCGGAGAACATTCCTTTTGCATTTTGCCCTCAGCCTCGATGGGCTGTTGGTTGGCTCCATCCATACACACTCGTCCCTGTGTAACTGAACCTCCTCCCTCATCTACACGCATCGTCTGGCGTTTCTCATCTTGCCCCTATGCTCCCCGGCATGATCCATTCCCTTTTCCTCCAGCAACAGCGATATCGTTACAAACCAACCAAAGACGGGTATCATTCTCGAAATATCAAAACCTCACTTCTTGTCACTCATCACCGTCCACTTCCAACTTGCGATCTGTGGACTCTGCACACCCATAAACACCTCTCCCGCAGCAGTGTTGTCGTTGCTCGTACCCGTGGTCGAAGTCGCACTCAAGCTGGGCATCTGCTGGGTCTGCGCGGGCCCTTCGGTTTTAGACAGGTCTGGTGTCGACCCGCTCATCATGCTCCCCATGGTCTGGGGATAGAAACTGGACCCGGTGCTCATCCCAAATGTCGCGTCCGTGCTGGTGTTCTCAGGAGACGATGTCTGCGTGAACAGATTGTTGTTGGGCGAATTAGTAGACCACAAACTCGCCGCTGGATCGAGGGTGAGAGTGGAGGGCTGCATGTATTGATCCCATGCCTCCTGTAAGGTGAGATTAGTATTCATCACCAATATCTTGCACCCCCCCCCCTGAGATTGTGAAACTTACCCAGTCCAAATTCATGCCCTGGTCCAAATTGCCCATCGCGCCGCCCAACCATCCGCTAGGGAAAGGGCTTGTTGCGTTCGCTGCTCCAAAGATCCCCGTGTTGTATTGCTCACCACCGGTCCCCAGATTAGGATATAATCCTCCCTTTTCCCACGGTGCACCAGGTGATGTCGCCTGGGACATGCCTCCACCCTGTCCATTCGAGCCCACCCCTCCAGCTTGAAGCATGCCCAGGGTCATGGCCGCGTTCTGCTCGTCATTGTTCGATCCCTGAGGCTGTTGAGATCCTGCCGGCAGCTGTGAGTTTTGAGGGTTGTTCGGCGAAAACGGCAGCTTGATATGGTAAAGGAGCACGTTCAGAAGCTCGCTGGCCTTGTATGCCTCGATGCTCAGGTCACGGTTCGCCATCCACACATCGCGGCTCTCTTCCAACGCATGGATCAGATCTTCGCGGTTGTAGCTGAGTCCGGGCACATAAGCTCCATCCGACGACATGTTGCTGCCTTGGCTGAGACTGCCGCCACTAACCGAAGTACTCGGGGTGCTCACATCGTTGTTGCCACTGTCGGGCCGCTCTCGGTGATTGTAAAGATCCATGCAAACGATCGTTGCTGCCAACAGATAGTCGTGTGCAGTCAGTGAGTTCACATGGTTGCGCAGACTTCTCAGTCGTCCGCGTTCCCGACTCTGCTGGTGTTGAATGGCCTGAAAACTCAGCAGTTGCATGGCCGAGTCCAAACATTGCCGGCGCGAGTGCGTATATCGGTTCCCGTTTCTGGCAAGCCGCATATACCGGCGATGGAGGACACATTGAGACTTGTGGTAAACCGTCGCGAGGCTAAAACGCGCCATGATTAGTGAGATGGGCGCCAGCGTCTGTTCTGCCATGGGTCGTAGTTTCAGGTGATCGGGAATACTCTCATAGATATCTCTCAATCCACGATCGATCTTGAGGGCCTCATCATACCCTTTTCGGGTGACTCCATTGATCTCCTCCAGCACTCGTCCGAAACCAAACGACAGTCGCCCCTTCGCAATCATGTACGAGATTGGCGTTGCTTCACTGGCGGGACGAGCTGGGGGTAATGAAGCAGAATCCTCATCAAACTCGTCGTCGTAAATGTTGCGCGGCAGTTCCGTATCAGAGTCGCCAATGCGAATCATCGATGGCAACGCCACTTGAAAAGAAAAGAGAAGATCGGCACTGCGCACAAAAGTCCAAACCCGGCGCCGCATCTCACCTTGGAATGGGGTCAGGTTCGGGAAAAGCTTCGCATCACGATGATAGCCCATTCGCATGGCGAGACGAGCAATCATGCCGACCAGCACCCAGACACTGGCTTCTGCATCTCGGTTGGAGGTATATTCCGCATGCAGGTGGAATATCAGCGTCTCGATAATACAGTTGTGTGGTTTCGTGTAATCGGCCGTGATGAGACAGTGGGCCATTTGCGTACGGAAGTTCGCGGCCAGATCTTGACATTTGCCGCGAAACTCTGGCGGTTCATCGCCTTCGCGCCCATAAGATAACATAGCTAAACGCATCATGGCGAACAACATGGCAACCCATACAATCGAGCTCTTGGACGGATCTGCCCAATGCTGGTTGTAATGGCGCTGAAATGTCGGGCCGTGCAGGATGTGGGTAGCTGGATCGAAGGTATTGAAATATCGCCCGATCAGGATATCCGACATGTATCGCGATGGTATTTGTGCGAGAATCTCTGCTCGACTGGGTGGGATAGTAGAGCCGAAGAGCAAAGCTGGACCTGACCCTACGTCCGCACCCATGGTTTTCCTGGCCTGCTCGACCTTCTCCATCTGCGCCTCGTACTCTTTCTTGTGAGCGACGAAATAGTTCTTGACTTCCCCAATCTCATTGAGCAAAGCCGCCCAGTGCGCTTCGCCAACATAAAAGGTCTTTTGCTTTTCAGCGTCGACCTTTAGAATTCCAAAGCTCTTGGTCACGCCATCCGTCTCACTTTCGGGCTCTTGGCCATCTGCATCATCCATCATCGCGCTCTCATCCAATTCATTGTCAAGATTCGGTCCTAACGATCCACTTTCCATCGTACTCGAACCAGCGGACAGTGCCTGGGCGGCGGCAGTTGGACCAACGGCTTGTGAGCCATTGGTCATGAGCGACAGGACCAATCCCTCAAGCCGGTCTATCCGATTCTGCATATCATCAGGTGTGGCGTTGGCGGCATTTTGACTCTGGCTGCCCTTCTTCCTCGCCGCAGGAGCAGCATAAGTACAAGAGGCTGTATCGCCTCGTTTTGTGCAATTGTCGCAGGGAGACTGCCGGTTGCATTTCAGCTTTCGGTGTCTGCACGGCGCGCACGATAAGGGGATTCGGTTTCGCTTGCGCACAACTCGGAACTGGTCGGGAGAGGCGCCGGAATGCGACGAGTTCGCCGATGGAGGCGTGGGCGTCATTATAAGATGCTTTTACGCTGTCTTGCAGTCCAATCTCTCGGTAAATGTTGTTGCGCTGTTGCAAACCCCCGCGGGCAAAGCTGGCTGCGGAACGGCACCCTCAGCGCTCAAGGTTCCTCCCAAGCGTCCCTCCGGTCGCAATACCTGTTGCGGAAGTTTAGACGTGCCAGAAAAACTGTTCAATTGATGTTCACGATTGTGCAGGACTCTCTGCTCAGGTCAAAAAAAAAAGGACGATTGAGGTGGTCGTAGACTGGCAGCCTGGGTAAAGTGGGCGCCCGGACTTAACACAATTATCTGCGCTGCGCAGCCAAAAGTTGTTGGGGCAGCACGTGGAGAGCGGCAAAAGGTTTCCTCAGCTCTAGATTTCTCCAGCTGGGGAGGCTTCTCGCTGTATCGCGTCTGATTGACAGCCGGTGTGAGGGGGAAAAGAAAGAAAGAATGACAAGGAGGAAGAAAATCGCCACGGATGGACAGAAAAGTGAAAGAAAGCTAGCGGGCGGAGGGGATCTTGGTACAGTAGCAGTGGTACATAAGCGACTGACCTACTCGGCCAATGCGGCCGGCGACCTGGTCGACGTCTCTAGGTACAGTATGCGCAGTTTATCAGCACCATATGCAGACAAGTGATACGCCCTCGACGCCCACTCGGCCGGCCGATGACTCACAGGACATGTGCGGAAACGCAACTAGCCGGACCAAATGGCCATCGAGCGTACAGCATGGCTGAGCATGCTGAGCATGGTCGATTGAGGGAGGGGACCATGGGACGAGGGGACGCCTTAATTCCGGGTGCGCCATCAGGCCATCTCTCACCTCGTAATACTCTTTGCTACTCGCCAGATCCTTCTCCCCGTTCCTGGACCCAGGACCCATTGAAGGGACGATGATGTCAATCTGCAGAAGCAACGTTACGGAGCAGATCATCCTCAGCGCAAGAGGTACAATGGCGTGCGGTATTCAACTATTTGTATCTGTTCACTGCCTTCCCTAAACAAATGTCGTGACGATGCCATGAGCATCTCTCATTCAGCAGTGTTTCACTGCCACTAACATGTGAGACCAGGACAATATCCCTCTACCCTCAGCTTGTGTTTCCTGTGCCCGCCGTTACTCATCGTCAGAGAATGCTTAAAAGTCCCAGAAACTTTTCGCGGTCTTGCTTTTTCCATTCGTGGCCATTTGCTCCTCCTCTGGTCCCACGCTCCAATGGCTTTCCATACCCTTTCTCAACCGACTTTGCGAGGGTGGGTTCTGGGGCTGATCGGGCGTCTCCTCGTACGGGTCCCAATGGGTTTCGAGCTGCGACGGCTTCTTACGGTGCTTGCTGACAGGTTTGTTCTCGTTATTGGCCTTTTCGTTGGCTGGCGATGCATCCGCCATTGTCCAGTGGCTGTCGAAGTCATGTTTGCGATTGGTATTGTTGGTGATGGTTGACAGCGGTGGCTTTTCCTGCGGTTTGCCATTCTCATCCTCGTCGAACACATTATTTGAATATAGCCCCATGCGATCGCTTGCCGAGCTGGCCGGACGGCCTGAAGTACGGTTGGGAGCCGGTGTCGCAGTGTCTCTCAACTGAAAGTGTGTTTCCGCATCTTTTCGAGGCTTCGGAACGGCATGGCGCTCGACGGGAGTTCCATCATCTTGCAGTTCAAAGTGGATTTCATTGTCGCGTCGTGGCTTGCCGACGATTTTCTTTGCCGGCGTTTCGAGGTCATTGACGGTGCTGTCCAGGCTGAAGTGGACCACGTCTTGATCTCGCACCTTTTGCGTGATCTTTTCTGGCGTGAAGAAGTCTGCGAAATCCCACTGAGATTGCTGTCTGTTGGATTTCCCTCGCACTGGTACCGTCGTCTTGGGCTTAGGGGTAATGTCACGATATTGCAGGGGGTCATCGTCCAGCTCCTCTCCAAGATTGAAATGGTTGTACTTGGCAGGGTGGGACTTATAGCCGACGGGGGCAGGCTCGTTGGGATCATCAGCAAAGAGGCGTGGCGGCGCGAACTTCTGGTTGCTGCCTCCTTTGGGCGCGATGACCGGCTCGACAGGCGCCTTCTTTGGCGATCCTGGCTCATGATCTTCATGTCCCGCCGCGAACAACTCGCTCATCTCGCGTGGTGGAGGTCTGGCTGACGCCCGTGGAGCCACGGCATTTGGACCCGAAATTCGCTCATTCTCGTCAGTGGCCTTGGGGGAGAAGAGGTCGAGGCTCGCGTGGGGATCCCTGATGTGCCTCTTGCTCGGTGACACACTGCGCGATGAGGCCAGGCTTTGATTTTCGGAGCGACCCCGGGGACTAGTGGGCGGTTCTGGCCCTGCGGAAGCCGCCGTAAAGCTGGAGTTGATGAGCCTGACCTGGTCTTTGCCGTCCACTACAGGCCAATTCTTGCCTCTTGAACCAATCACTTCGGTCTGTTTCAACAACGAGGCTTGATCCCACGAGATACGAATGAGCGAAATTTTCTGTTCCGCATCGAAATGCACCATATGAGTCTAGACGAATTCGCTGTCAGCCCAACGCCCTGGGTGCGGAACGGGGCACTCTTACCGTTGGAATTGTCGCAATCTTATCCACAACGAAGTTCTCGAGACCTGGTAAATATGATCCTCCGCCTGAAATGAATTCTAGCATAGTCTCGACCTCAAGGGCAATAGCATTGGGACCTTCCACAGCCGAAATTACTCTCGCGCTTTTGGTCTTGACCGACTTTTTGTTTTGAGACTCAAGATGCCGTACAATGTTGACAGGCTGTGTAAAGGTCGTCAAGGTGGTAATGTAATGAAGGGAGGCATTCTCGGACAGGCTGATGGGATTGGGTAACTCCAAGAAACGCAGGTAGACGTCTTTGAGAGTCATGTTGACGTCGACCCCGAGGGCTTGATGAAGGCACTCGGCCAAGCGGTCGTGGGCGTTGGAGAGAAAGGAGAAGGGGTCAGTCGCAGAGGGACACGCGCAGAAGGCCGGCTCAGTTGGAACTGGGTTGTTTGTGTGCGTGGGAGAAAAGTCAAGTGGACAGAGCCAGGGTGTAAACAAGAGAGATCGAGGAAGGCAGAGGAAGGTATGGGGTGAAGGAGCAAGCCGATGCGGCGTCTTTATTCGGAAAGGATAAACTGGCAACCGGCGACTACAAGGTGGAAATACTCAGCCAACGACAGATTGAGGCGTGAGCAGCAGGATCAAGCGGGATCTCTGGGTGTTTTGGTGGACTAGAGGGGAGGAAGCAGAGATGTCAATGGACTGACCCTGAAAGTTGCATTTAGTTATTTGCTTTAGCGGTGCAGGCACAACGAGGGTGTTCAATGGGGAGACGCGTTGCCCCGCCATCGCGTCCAAAACACCTAACACAGTCCTGCGCAGTCCTGCCCAGGACTCCCTGCAGGCTCCATGCAGGCTCCATGCAGGTGCTCCGCCTTAGCGTCGTTTCAGAATTTTGCTTCTGGTTGGGGCCATGTTTGAGCCCTTTGCCGTGCCCCCACAGCCATGCCTTTCAACTTTCGTCAAATCCGCCTGTGTCTCCAAGTGCCTGACCGTTATTTGCACAACCACTTCCGATCCAACGTGGGAAGATTATGTCCAGAACACAGGTCTGGTCGGCTCTCTGGATCATACGCCAGCTTGTGCCGTCGCCGAAATCGCTGTGCTTCACTATGATCAAGGACAGTCCAGCCGAGACCCGGGGCGATACAACGGTGGAGCTGGGGAATGTTGACTTCATCCAGTCATACTGACATGGCAGACGATCATCATTTGAGCAGAATACTGCCACCCTACTGTGATCCATGTTTTACGCGACGCTGTCCCCGTCAGCAATCACAATGCGCACCTAGAAATGAACAATGCACCTACCCAAACCATTGAGCGGACATCTTTCCCACCGCAAACATCTTACCCACGTCGCTCCGCAGTCCGATCAGCTGGACTCTGACGGCCGAACCTTTCTCGATCACATCTCCTGCGTTGTTGGAGTATTGGGGTGGAGTGGCGTCGGGATTGTATCGCATGTCAGGCGGAAGATGCTGCCATCTTTTCAACACATGTGCACCCTGTGAAACCACCAACAACACTTACCAGCTTGGAGACAAACACACCAAGAGGCCCGGCTTCGCAAAAGACCCCCTGTTCCTTGATAGAGGCGACGGCGCAATCGATCTGTCCATTGTCGCTGTCAACATCCATGCTCCTCACAAAGTCATGGCAGATATGCCTACCGTCTCTCCCTTGAACGGCTTCCATAGAATGGCTCGGTAGAGGATAGTAAAGTGCGCATCTCCAGAACCCGGCCTAACTCTCCCAGGAGAGATGTTGTAGATGTCCATTATGCACACAATGTAATATTCTCCATTGCAGCTACCCTCCAGATCCGCATAGAGCTGATCTTTGAGCCTCTCGTTCACATTAGCTGCGAAAAAGGAAGGATGGATGCTGATTTCGCGCTCGAGATATCGTAGGAAGAACATGGTGATTGCCTTGCCCCCGGGCCCAGACTCCTCTTGAGAACCCGTTTGCGCGCAAAAGGTACGGGCTAGGAAGGCAGCTTTTGCTTCCGCTTGGCCTCCTCTCAAAGGGGAACCAGTCAGTGTTTGTCGCGCTTGTCACCGAGAGGTCTGATGCCCGAAGGAAGGTGAAGAATCACATGCAGGAATGGAGCACAGCTAAAAGACCGTACCCTTGTGGAGATACGAAGAACAGGGGGGCTTTTTGTTGTGTGTCTCGGCCGCGAGGTGAAGACCACAGACTGTCGCGAGGCTTCTCGGGATTATTTTTTGATGGGCAGTGCAAGGCGCATGCGCGATGATGCGCGGTGGGCTCGGTTGGTGAACCACAAACAAAAGGAGCTCAGCACTCGCCGCTTACAAGCGTCTTCTAGGCTGCGCAGTTGGCCGTTCAGGAGGCGGGATATTCTGCCGCTTCACGTGACCACTCTGTCGAAGACCTTGCGACTTGCTCCCTTGCGCAACCTAAGGACCTTTTTCTTGAATCCACATCAGAGTATCAGTATTTGGGGATACATCGAATGGAGCATAACTCTTCCATGTATCTAACTATCCGGCACTCAGGGGCAGGAAAGCCTATCGAACAGCAACATCTACGGACCCCTGTCTCTGGACATTGTCCGCCCTTTCTTGGCCCGCTGCCAGCGCCTCCAACCTTGCGGCCTGGACGCGGTGTTTCTTGATGATTGAAATCCATTCTGGCTCAGGCTTCGGCTTCGGCTTTGTCTCTGCCTTGGTGTCTGACGACGCTGGCACCGCTGGGTTTGGCTCCGCCTCGCCGTTCCCCTGGCCGTTCGCGACGAACTCGCTTTCTTTAGCGCCAACTTCTGCTTCCTCGACCCCGTCGTCTCCGCCCCCGGGTGTATCTTCGTCTTGGTCATCTTCATCCTCGTCATCTTCGTCCTCATCCAGCTCTGCGATCATCAAACTGAAGTCTGCGCCTAGCCGGCCCAGCGAATTCGCGGCGTAGAGCACTTGCATAAGCAGGCTCTCCCTCGCTGTGGGATCCGTCACGTTTGGAAGGTATTGTTTTAGCGTCGAGATGAAGATGTCGACTAAGTGTAGTGGAAATGTCTGCAGAGCCGGAGGTAGCGTGAGGGATAGATCTAGTGATGACGGTAGCCGGGAAGGAGAAGAAGGGAACGCATGCGGCGGCTGTGGCTGCTCATCCGCGGGGAAGATGTTTCGGTACATGCTTATTGTCGCAAATGACTGCTCACGAAAGATTTCGATGAACCGTTTCAGGTAACGTTCCGTCTGTTGGCCCGCTAGGGAAGGATTGTAGCCCGCACCAGAAGATGGCTTTCGGTTTGGTGGAGGCCGTGTCGTGCTCGAGGATGTTGGATTCTGGGCGTGGGTTTGGGACCTTGCAGCTTTCCGAGCCAATGTCTCTTGATCTGCGAGATCGCGAAGCGGAGAAAGGGCTTCGGCCATGCTCAGGAACGTGCACAGTCGTGAAACTAGGAAGAGGGCGCCAAAGTGGCCTTCTTCCTGATGTGAGGATAGAGGTGCACCCATTCCAAGCTGCGAGGTCAAGGTCGGCGTGAACAGACCCGGTTTGTTGATCTGAGCACTGGCCGATGGTAAGCCCGTGGTCGTGCTCGTAGACAGCTCCGGCGCCACCCGTCGTAACCAACCGATCATGCGGATAGCGGCAGCGAGGCGAAGATTCTGCCCTCGAAGACTGGCAATGAGATTCGTCGTCATGTCCTTCATTGCGGTTTCGGCGTCGGCGACCACGGACTTCACCAGCTGTGAGTCGGGATAGAGAATCTGAAGGCGCTTAATGTGCGCGAAGAGATCAAGCGCCTGAGTGTAGTTCGCACCGCTCCCACTGGAAGATGTGGAGCTTGTTGACGTCGCTGAAGTAGTGTGGGCTGAGGCTATTGCAGCAGAAAGCAAAGAAGGAAGTTCTAGGATATCCTGAGCCTTGTCTGCTTGTCTGGCGAGAAGGGAAGACTCTCGCCGAGCAGTAAGGAGGGCATTTCCACTGCTCCCAGAAGTGGTTTCCTCTTTGGACTTGCTGTATGTTGAGGCGAAACTCACAGCGCTAGCATCCAATTCAGGGATCGCATTTTTGATCGAATCAACGGATGTTGATATCAGAGGGAGTGAAGAGCGGAGAGTGCTGAGATGGTCTGATGACTTGGTCGTCGTGCGGTGAGAGCGAGAACTTAACGCTTGAATTGAGAGTAGATTGGACTGGGCTGCTTGACTAAGTGATTGATGCTCAGTTGTTGTCAAGTCGCTCAGCCGGAGGGAAACGAGGCGGGACAAATATTTGGATATCTCGGGGGATGGAGATGACGCTTGAGATGATGGTGGTAGACGAGGTTGAAGAAGGTCATAGAGGGCATCTGTCATCCTGAAGTTGATGTTGACTGTGAAAGGAGGGTGAAGTACTCTGCTTGTTGGTATGCTCTAGCCAGGTATAATTGTATTTCCATCTCGATTGTCGATGGTCGATGGGTGTTGGGAAAGGAAATCTAAGAAATACCTGTTTTCATTGGCTGCATCAAGCATGTGACATGAACGCCGCGAGGCTACGAGGCTGAATATGCCCTTGAATGTTATCGTCACCACCGTGTTATCCTCCGCTTTGTCCACGGTTGTCTGACATTCTTTTCTCACAAACTTACCAAACAATCTAATAGATACTTCTATGACTCCGCTCCCGCCTCTCTTCATCTAGAATCTGCTGCAGCTCGCCAGAAACTCGATCTTGCGTCCCAATTTCCAGATCCGCCTCTTCCACTTCTGCATCACTCTGATCGCCCAGTGCATCCGCCAGCTTCCTATTTGGATCGTCCAATTCCCCTCTTAATGCTCGTGCCAGTGACGAAGAGAATACCTTCTTGACTCTCTCAGGAGACTCTGGCAACGATCCCGAAGGTAGCGAGCTTCTTTTAGGACTCTCGTTTTCAAACTCATCATCAGATCCAAATGGTGAGCCTTGACCCGATCTCGTCCCACCGCCATCTCTGCCAAGGTACGACTTTATGCCACTCAAGTTCGAACTTTTCCTCCCTGTGTCCAAAGCCAGATTACTAAGGGATGTTCGAAGGTTGCTCGACGACCGCACCCTCGTGCGACTTTGGTCTCTGCTCGGACTGCCTCGTCTCTCGGTTGGAACTGCCTTTGGATTGCGTCTTGTTTCACTTCCCTCGTGTACCATTTCGGACTCGTCTCTGAACATATCTACCGTGCTTTTTCGCGTCGGCACAGGGATATAGCTGGCTCCGGTAGGATCATGGGCATTTTTGGAGATCGTCCAGCGTCTCACGGGTATGGGTTCAATAGTTACGGGTGTTGATGTAGACGAGATACTGCTTTTCCTTGCCGCTTTCTCCCTTCGAAGATCTGACCACCGCCGCAAACTGTTCTGAAGCACATACCTCCCATTCGCACCCAGCTTCATCACCAAAAACTCGCAATGATTGATGTTTCGCAGATCCTCGAAGAACTCGACGCTATAGTGATACCAGGCCATCAGAAAGACACGACTGCAGAGACCGTGTGTGACGAGAATAGCAACACTGGCCATCGTGTCTTCGGAAAATCGTCTCCAGAGCGAACCGTTGAAAGATGATACTCGGTCGTAGACGTCGGCCCCACTTTCTCCGTTGGGAATGCGGTAGAAAAAGTGACCATACTGAGCACGTTCTCGCCAGAGTCTCTCAACTTCTTCGGTGTCCGGCTGAAAGTTGCCAAAGTCTTGCTCCCTCAGCCTGGGCTCCTCATACACCTTGATGTGGGCTCGCTGAAAGGGTGAAGGGATAGGATCGTTGGAGCACAAGCCTTTCAGAATGCCTTCTGTTGTTTCTCGGGTCCTCCTGTACGGGGAAATAAAGAAGTGTAGCGTATCATCAGTCCGAAGAAGAGAGCGCAGCTTCTCTCCCGCTTCTAGAGCCTGTCGATGCCCTTCCTCCGTTAGTCCGACTTTGTGGTCTGGTGTCGTCTGGTGAATAGCCTTGTCTCGATTGCCCTCGGATTGAGCATGTCTTATGATGATGATCAATCTTGGCTTGCCCATTTTCGCTAGTCCTGCATTCGCAATGGAAATGATGGCCTCGCTGTAAGGAGCTGGGCGTGCCTTAGCCCCTGAATTCTGCCGCCGTGCTCTAGAAGATGTGTCCAATAAGTCTGATTGGGTCGCAAAATGGATATTTGGAGGTCGGTAAAAGGAATGAAGCACGACAGCCTTGCTCCGTCGGTGTTCGTGTCTGGCTCATCTGATGCCAAGTCTCTGAGCCAGAAGAGGACTAGCCCAGCCGTTCCTGGATCGCGTTCTGCAAGTCGCGATCTTTCCTGGCGATGCGGCTTTTGCGATCATCTCCTTCATCAACCAACGCTTCGCCAAACCCATTGACATGTTCTAGTCGGTGGCGTCATTGCCATATCGGAATCGCGACACCACTGAGCCCCCATCGCCCTTTCTCCCCCTTTCGGATGATTAATGATTTTGAGACAACGATAACAACATGAATCCGCAAATGCAGAATTATCGACAGTTTGCCCAGGCGCAAGGAAGATCCCCAGCGGCACGCAGGCCAGGTGAGTGCGACTCGGCACCAGGACATTTGCAAACCCAGATATTGGTGGAGGTCCCAATAATCCCTTCAAGGAAATGGACTATCGTGGCCAACAACACCTTTGAGACCCTCTGTCCAAATACCGTCGTTTGGTGGACACTGGACAGATGACTCTCTTATCTGCTTGCCTCATCCAACATCAAGAGATTCTTCACTCACAAATCCTAGGTCAGATTCCGCCTGTCCAACATGCTGCTCAGCAAGCGCAAGCTCAGATGATGCAGCAGCAAGCCCAACAGCGCAATGCTGCAATCGAACACCAGCTGGCTCAGCGACGAGTGCGAAAACCTACCGATCGAAATCTGCCAGATGGATTGGAAGAGGTAGTCATTGGGGACGGTGTCGAGCAGTATAAGAAGTTGCGCGAGGCAGAGAAACGACTAGACCATCTGATGGCACGGAAGAGATTGGAAATCCATGACAACTTGAGCAAAAATGTCAAGAGACAGAAGACGATGCGAATATGGATCTCCAATACAGTGTCTGGCCACCCATGGCAGATGAACCCAGACGAAGAAGGCTTCACGTTCGACTCGGGCAACGAGCCCACCTGTAGGGTCAAGATTCAAGGGAGGTTACTGGAATATGACGACGATGACATCTTACACAGTGACGACGAAGATCAAGAGATGGACGACCAACACAAATCGGTCAAACAAAAGCAACTCAAGACGCCCTCCAAAAAATTCACCCACTTCTTCAAGGGCATGACTGTCGAGTTTGACAGCCCCAAAGCCAACATCGGCGAGCCCAATCAGACAGTAACATGGAAGAAGGGCCAAAATAGCACTCAAGCTGGCGACTTTGACGCGATTGAATTTGAGCGCAAAGCCGATGAAAACATCAACATCACAATCTGCCTGACACGCGACGAACAACCCGAAAGATTCCGTCTATCTGATGCCCTAGCCGAAACTCTGGACATGGAAGAAGCTGATCGCGCCGAAGTCGTCATGGGCATTTGGGACTATGTACGCGCCATGGGCCTGCAAGAAGATGAAGAACGCCGCAGTATTCAGTGCGACGAGTCACTAAAGCGCATCTTTGATACAGACACATTCTTTTTCCCTCAAGCCGCCGAACGGTTGGTCCCGCATTTACACCCCTTGCCCCCGGTGCGATTAGCCTACACCATCCGCGTCGATGAAGATTATCATAAGAATCCCGAACCCACGATCTATGATGTGCAGGTTACGGTCGAAGACCCTCTCCGCCCATTAATCTTCAAACTCACCCAGAACCCGGAACATCAATCCATACTCCGCTCCATCGCTAAACTGGACGACGAACTGGCCATAGTGGTGCAGGCTTTGCATCATCACAAGGCACGCCACCAGTTCTTCACGAGCATGGCGAAAGATCCGCAGAAATTCATCGAGAGGTGGCTAAGCAGTCAGAAGAAGGATCTTAGTGTGTTGCTTGCGGAGCAGGAGCGAGGGGACGTGGCGGGCATGGAGTTCTCGAAGGGCGGAGATGACAGCGTATGGGGCGGCCAAGTTGTCAGAGAGGCCGTGAGGTATAGGCTTGCCAGAGCGGAGGCAACAGGGAGGTAAAGGGCTAAAAGGAACCAGGTGTCATGAGTTATGCAGTTGGCGGCGGCGATTTAGGTTTCAAGGCGTTAATCAGCGCAGCAGCCAATTCTGCTCAGTCTGAGTCCGAAGTCATTCGGAGTTATTACGAGCAAGTCTCTTTCTTCCAGGGCGTCCAAAAGAAAGAGTGAGAGGAAGAAAGGGAGAGCATAATCCAGAAAGGGGCAGTTGAGCGTGCTGATGTATGTACTGGGTACAACTACGCCCCAGACCGTTAGGTTAGCGTTCTACAGTGACAGCAATGACTTAGAGGCCCGCCTCTTCGCCTTCCTGTGTTCTTATTTTGCGGATTCGCTAATTCTCGCCGCTTGTGTTCTATTTTTCTGTCTATCTATCAGCTTATGTACCTGGCCCAGACTTGGAGTACGCCGGGTTCATACGTGGTGTAGATGTGGTGGTGGTGGCGGTGGGCAAACCAATTCAGAAAGACAGTGACGACGATGATGATGACGACGGTGGTGGTGACGGTGACGGTGACGGTGAATTCCCCTTTTGTCCTTTCCCAACTACATTTCCACCCATCATTAAAAGAGATGTGCCATTCTTCTCGAGATGGCCGGACTTCTCTAAACGCATTTAACTGGGGGTTTGCGAGATCAGGCAAGATGGCGCATATGTCCCGGTCAAGGTACGTCAGTTCTGAAGCCCGGGTCGAGATCCCCGACATCGCCTATTAGTGTGCCGCGGTTGCGGAGCATATCGAGGGCTTCTTGGCCTTGCTTTGTCCCCGGTCCCGGGATGGGTGGCTGTGTCTGGATTGGCATCGAGTTTGGAGGGGCTGGTGATGCAATTCTGTCAGTCGTTGCTGTTTTACCGTTTGAGTGTTTCTGTGAACGCCGGAAAGCTGCAACGCTTCTCCGAGGGAAAGAAGGTGACGCGAAAGCGGGTGAATTTCTTCCCCCGACTTGCCCGACAGAAATTACAAGGGGACTGCTTGGAACTCACCGAGAATACCTAGACCCATTCGCTCAATCAAATACTTATAATACTGCGCCTCCTGGATGCTCTCCAATACATCAGCTCTAGCGGTATGTCTGAGTTCTTTCCGCGGAGCTGCCATCAACACGGACTCACTCGCCCAGCGTCGTACCATCTCCTTCATCGCCGAGACATCAAATAGACGATAATGGAGATGCTCCAGAATGACGTTCCAGGGCGGGACCGCCAGAAAGGCCCGGTCGGCGTGGATACTGTTCCCCGCCAGAAGAGCCCGGCCGGGTTCGGGGACGTAATGTTTGATGTATGCGAGGAGCCGGTTGGCAGCGGTTTCAGCGCCGATCGATGAAGTAAGGCATTCCTGCGTAAGGCCGGACTCGCCATGCGTCTTGACACACCACTCTGACATCTTGGAGAGTTGTTCCGGCGTGTGGAATATCACCGCGTCGAAGCCTTCGGGGTCCAGCGGATGGAGGTCGGCCGTAGTGATTATACACGATATGGACATGATCGTATCCTTGGCGGGATTGAGACCTGTCATCTAGGAACCAGCATTAGTTCAAGAAAATGACGCAGAAAATCGAGGTGTGGTCGAATTTGGATGGCAATTTATGACTTTTCGTCTATTGTGAACTGTTCAGGATTCTGTACCGTTGCCAGCCGCCGAACGTTGTTGGGAAAGGATGGACACGGAGCCATTCTCCTGTGCCGATGATAATAGGATGCGGGAAAAGGCACGAAGTTTGCGTGGACCTACCTCGCAGTCAATCCAGACCAGCGGATCGGTAGATCTGGTGAGTGCCATGGCGCTGCTTCCTCGGTGAATCTTCTAGTTATGGTTTTATGTTTTGATCTGAGAGTCTTTCAAATACGCTCTGGCTCTGGGTCTCGGGCTGGCAACGACCAGTGTCTCAAAGAAATGCTCGGGCCCCATCCACCCAGTCCACAATGGACTGACGAGCAGGCTTGACGAGACTTCCGTGCAAAATCAAAATGAAGGGGACTTCTCGACAACATTGTTAAAAAGACATGAAGTGGTGTGGGATCGACCACGGGGTTTAAACAAACCTCTTCCAGCAGCGATTGGATCACGGTGGAAAAGTAATGACGATTATCTGGTCATCCGTCACCATTCGCCACCAGGGCGTCGACAACCTGAGGACAAGACTCGTGAGGAGAACGACGAGGGGAGGATCATCGAAAGTCCAAAGAATTGGAAAAGAGGGATGGCGATATGTACCGACAACACATACTAGTATGGCGAGCTGGCTGGTGCAACTGGCCCATTGAGGCCCAGACCCCACGAGGCTCCCGGCTGGTGAGGCCAAAAAGTCTTGCAGCATCAGTAGCGGAGTCGGAGTTGAAGGTGGAGTGGGATTCCGCTCCAATCAACAACTGCGACGACTCCTGCCGAAGCAGCGGGCAACTGTTATAGACCGTGTATGTAGGACCAGGTAGCACTTAGAGAAGCTTTCTTAAATTTGATAATGTGGTTTAATTTTCTACCCGGCTTGCTGGCTGGCAGCTCCAGGCATTTTTCGGGACGCGTCTGTGTGTATGAGGTTGGTCTTTGTCGAACATGAAAAAAAAAAACAACTCTTCGATGCCTGGGGTATTGGTACAATGACCATCGCGGGTTGAGCCAGCAATCATGCATCCATGCCCGTATCATTTCGTTCTCCCTAGCCTCTTGTACCCTCCCCCGTCCAAGGCACCACTTGAGACTCCTTGCAGCCCCTGTCCTTTCCTGAACCATGCGTGCAGCTCCTCAGAGGCATCTACCGCCACTCGTCCCCCCAGCACAAGCCATCATGTCAGGCGTGTGATTTGCACAATTACTCAAAATATTCGATGGCCAAACCTCGCTTGTGTGTATCTTCCGTCTCCATGTGATCATCCTGGCTCCAAATTCCGCGATGTCATGACAAATGAAAAGTAGAAGAGTTGAATTCCCAACCCAAATGCCGACAGAAGACGCCATGAACGGCGTCAATCCTGTCTTTCCCTTAACGTGGCATCGTCCCGACGGCCAGCATTTCCGAAGAGTACCTACCATGATGCAGGTAAAATTCTCCCAACGCCGTGGACATGATTCAGTTCCCGCACTCAGTTTGCCACAAAAGAGCCCGTGTGGTGTCCTTTCAGAGCTCTTCGTCGTCAGCAGCTGGTTCTTTGATCAGTGGGCCACCGAATTGCAGGCCAGAAGGATTGGCATGCGTTGCAGCCGATTGAGATGGTCCTGAAGCCCCCAGGATCTCGCCGATAGTGCTCGAAGACGTGGACAGGCCACCACCTAATCGCTTTTTGATGTCTTCATCGAAATCCGCGATGCTTGCTCGCTGTCTTTTCATCGGACTGCCGACCATGAAACTATCATCATCTTTTTGGACGTCCAGGCTGCTGCTCATACCGGACGTCCCCATGCTCGTACCCGCCGGCGACGTTGCAAGCTCAACGACACCAGCTTTGGGGGTCGAACTACCCGAAGGGCTACCCGATTTCGAGCTCTTGCGAGGTTCTGTCACACCGTTACTGTTGAGCGGTTCTGCCGAATGCTGTCGTTTGAGCTGATGATACCTTAGCCCATGCCGGAATTTCAACGGCGAAGGGTCTCTTACCTTCATTTTACGGATACCTTCTGCAACTTGGCCTGTTCGCTCTGCATCTTCAGGAGTAAGCATGCTTGGGTCCTTCTTTGAATCCGCATCATTGATATCTTCCATCCTGCCAATGATGCCGGCTGCGTCATCGTCACTCTCACTCTCCATCTCATCATCGCTTGTCCCTTTGCTTTTTCGGCTCCGTCGTCCTTCCGAGTCGCGGAAGTTAGAAAACCCGGCAGTTCCCTCTTTCTTGAGAGGTCCAAGCTTGGGAAGCTCTGCCGCTATGCTGCGTCTCTTCGTGTTGGTGGGTGTCTTGTCGGATTTGGCTCCGGCAAGAATGCCCATCTTTTGCAACTGACGTTCCCCTCGGTAAAGGAACGTGAAGACCGCATAAGGTTTGTCGGTGGGGTCAATACCAGTCACCGTTTGTGTCGAGATGGTTTTGGGATCCAAGGTCTTTGGTTTAGCAAAACTGGTGGTGTGGTCGACATCTGCCCGATTCTTGCCCTCTCCATTACCGGCGCCTTCTCCAACGTCTGAACCTTCCGAATCATCATGCGCATCGAATTGAGGTGAATATTCTCCTCGCTTGATCTCTCCCGAAGCTAGTACCCGGAACAAGGCGACCTTAATCTGGCCTGCTGCCTCTGGTATCGGGTCGTCATCATCTTCCGAAGAACCGGTGTCGCTTAAAGACTCTTCATCATCCGAAACGTCCTTCAATTCGCCTCCTTCGCCGTAGCGCATGGTGTTCTTTGTTCTATCTTTCGTCTGCACTCCATTGGACTCGTCTTCACTCCCAGTGGTCTCCTTCCGCTTTCTTCGTCTCTTCTCCAATTTCTGTCTGCGTCTCTCAATGGTTGCCGCTGCATCTTTACCGTCGAGGTCTAGACCATTCAGCCACCGCTCGAGGCCAACTTCACGAAACAAAAACTCTCGTTCTGCCAAACCGCCTCCTTCTTTCTCGGGGACGCTGACCCATCGAGAATTCACCCAGGTCTCTTCACCCTTCCTTAGCAGCGTGGCAACTTCCTCTTTGGCTCGGCCATCGAAGTAGATGTAGGCGGCGATAGTTTCGTTCGGCGAAGTTGTCAAGGGGACATACGGCCCAACAGAGCTTGTATACTTTCCTCGATCGCTTGTGTGACCAGGAAGTCCTCCCACAAGTTTAGGTTTTGGATTAGCATTATCTGGTGTAGCCTTCGGAGTGGAGTATGGCACTTCCTGGCCAGGAGTGAGGAGGGTGATAGAGATGGCGAAAGTCGACTGTTCGGGTTTGCCGGTCAGAGAGTCGGCGGGAATTTGCGCAGGCGGCACCGGGATGTAGGCACTGATTCTTGAGAGTCGAGAGGTTCTCTGTACCGAGTATTCTGGCAAAGGCCCATTGGGAGTGTGTATGCTCACAGCGAGGCCTTTGAAGCAGGGCATGGTGGCAATCAGAAATCGAAAGACCCTTAAGTGAATGTCGATTCTCCGCTCTCTGCGCACAGAGATGGCGGAGAATAAATCTCCGATATGATGCGTGAGATATAACTGTGCTTCGCTAAAGTTGAATCCAACTCTTCTGAAAGACAGACGCTACAGTCACCAGTATGTCGGCGCTTTCGCCACTTGAGGTCTATTGTGCATACAGCACGCTGGTGAATAGGAGGGCTTGCCTGCTCCGCAGACTCGGCGAGGAACGGTGAGCTATCGGGGGAATGGCGCACGCGATGGTGGGGGGAACGATGCTCAAATGAGTGGCAAGGCTGTTTCGAATTCAGAGGAAGGGGGCGTTTGAATGCAAGTAATGAAAATGTCTGGACTGACAGTGTGGATGAAGAGAGGTCACCAACTTAATTTACTCTTGGGCCGAGTTTGTAGAGGCTCCTGCCGCCGCTGTGACTTCTTTGACGAGGCAGGACCGCCAAGGACGCGCCAATCCCAATCCGGATAGCCTCAGCCTGGTGAATCTGCGGAGAGACGAGGCTGCATCCTATCGCCACCACTCTTCAAGCTCCTACCGGTAGTCACTATTTGCGTCGGCAGAGGACACAGGTGCCGGCCAGTAATCCGACACAGTTCAACCTCAGTACGAAGCACAGGCTGGCCCTGCTGTCACTCGGTAAACTTACCCTGACTTTGAGAGACGATGTCTCCCTGGGATGCCAAAGCCGCTCACACACGGCGATCTTACATCAGTATGACATAGAAGTTGCCGGTGCTACATTTGGTTTGTTACCGTGCACGGAGCACTTTTCGCTATAAAAAAAAAAGACTCGGTACCAACCGCAGAAACCAGTTCCCAAAGGTGTCTTGAAGTCCAAATGCCAATATGCATCAAGGCCTGTGATGTAGGGAAACAGGAACCGCGTCTTTTGGGCAGGTCTCTCTTGAGAATACGCAACCGGAATATTCGCACTTAGAAATAACAGATCCAAGACATTGATTCTAAAAGGCCCAAAAAAGGCCATCGTCATGCCCTTTCTGCTTTATCGGCCTTGGTGGATGAAACGTATCAAATGTCATGGCATGCTGCAGCTCCACCATCTGGTCTTAACAGCTCTGAACCACTCACTTCACGAGCATTAGCTTAGCAAGCCGACATTGACTGTTCACGGTGCAGGATATTAGGTATGATACGAAGCGTCCAAGACCAGAGTTGAGAGTGGTGTGAGCGATGTCGAGCTTGGGTGGGTTGAGTCCGCCAATCAGACGTCGTGACTGACTGATCGGAGAAATGAGAGCATGGATGGGCGAGTTGGGCGAGTTGGGCGAGTTGGGCCATGACGTATCGCCCTGCAAGGGTCAGAAGGGTTTGTTGGTGAAGGTCGCTTGCTATTGCCCCGCGATGCTTTTCTCCGTTGCTTCATTTTCCACGTTGGCAGTCGAGGGGGGATCTTCAGTGCACCCAAAATTTTCCCTCCAGCCAACTTGTTGCAGTTTTGAAACTTCCTTCACAATCACATTGCCTGTCGCTTCTTGTCGAGCCATTCACAGACTCATTTGGCCAGATCTTGTCCGTTCAATCTAGCGACCCGTCCAGCAGATCACCATAATGGTAAACGTGCAAGAAGTCCAATTCAAACCCTTCGCGGACCAGAAGTAAGCTTGAGATGAGAACCACCAGTGACCACTGTTTTCTAACTGCTTTCCCCCCAGGCCTGGTACATCAGGACTTCGCAAGAAGGTCGCCGTCTTCCAACAGCCTCACTACAGCGAGTCCTTCATCACCTCGATCCTCCTGTCCATTCCCGAAGGTGCAGCTGATGCGTTCCTCGTCATTGGTGGTGATGGACGATACTGGAATCCTGAAGTGGTCCAGCTGATTGCGAAGATTGGTGCTGCATACGGTGTAAAGAAGCTTCTCATCGGCCAGAATGGCATCCTGAGCACTCCAGCTGCCAGTCACGTCATTCGCATCAGAAAGGCCACGGGTGGTATTCTTCTCACTGCCAGTCACAACCCTGGTGGTACGTCAAGAGATCGTCGAGCATTTCCGGGACTACATCTAACCATGACTCAGGCCCCAAAGCAGACTTCGGCATGAAGTACAACCTCTCCAATGGTGCCCCTGCCCCGGAATCCGTCACAAACAAAATCTTTGAAAAGTCAAAGTCCCTTACCTCATACAAAATTGCAGACATTCCCGAAGTGGACCTGACTACAATCGGCACCAAGAAATATGGGGATCTGGAAGTCGAGATCATCGACTCGGTAGCGGACTATATGGCTATGTTGAAGGACATCTTCGACTTCGACCTCATCCGGTCCTTCTTCAAGTCTCAGCCCGACTTCAAAGTTCTCTTCGATGGTCTCTCCGGCGTCACTGGTCCCTATGGCGTCGCCATATTTCAAGAAGAGCTCGGCTTGGGGCCTGAGAGCACTCAGAACTGCCAGCCGAGCCCCGACTTCAACGGCGGTCACCCAGACCCGAACCTGACGTACGCCCATTCTTTGGTCGAAAGGGTTGACAAGGAGGGTATCCACTTTGGTGCCGCTTCGGATGGCGACGGTGACAGGAACATGATTTATGGCAAGAATGCCTTTGTCTCGCCTGGAGATTCCCTGGCTATCATTGCCCACTACGCTCAGAAGTACATTCCTTACTTCAAGAAGCAGGGTGTCTACGGCCTAGCAAGGTCTTTCCCCACCTCGGCAGCACTCGATCTTGTGGCCAAGAAGCAGAACTTGAGCCTCTATGTCGTGCCCACTGGATGGAAGTTCTTCTGCGCGCTCTTCGATACTAACAAGATGTCGATCTGCGGTGAGGAGTCGTTTGGCACTGGCTCGAATCACATCCGAGAAAAGGACGGCTTATGGGCCATCACCGCTTGGCTCAACATCATTGCGGGTGTGGGGAATGAAACCGGCAAGTTCCCGTCTATTGCTGAGATTCAAAAGGAATTCTGGCACGAGTATGGCCGCGTATATTTCACACGATACGACTACGAGAATGTGAGCAGCGAAGGGGCGAATAACATGGTCAAGTATCTCAAAGAAAAGATTGCAAAGTCCGACACTGTCGGTTCAGAGCTTCAAGGCCGCAAGATTGTAGAAGCGGACGATTTCTCATACACCGATCTCGACGGCTCGGTGTCAAAGAATCAAGGGATCTATTTTAAATTCGACGACGGCACAAGAGTTGTTGTTCGATTATCGGGTACGGGCAGCAGCGGTGCCACCATCCGTCTCTATGTCGAGAAACTCGAGGAGGACAAGAGCAAGCTTGGCGAAGACACGCAGGCCTATCTCAAGGGATCGGTCGGCCTTGCCATGGAACTCTTGCAGCTCCAGAAATTCATTGGCAGAACCGAGCCAGATGTCAAGACTTAGATTATCAGCATCGACACGGATCAATGATTTCACAGAAAATTTTGTGTGCGATAGAGGACTTGACTATTCTTCCATCACAGTTGCCGTCGCAATAATGATGATAGCTCTTGACATTGAAATATGAATGGATCAATACACATTGACTACAGCTCTCCAGAGACTGAGAGTCTGACATGTTCTTATACTTCGCTCGACACCCAGCCTTCGTAATGTAATTCGTCTTTCTTGAGATGCAATGGGCGGTTGCCCCTTATGATATCGGAGAGCCTGCTCTGCCTGCTGTCGACATGCTCCCCCAAGCATTGGATGAACTTTATCATGCAAGAGGAGGGCGGGTCTACTAGCTAGTGTCAGGAAGAGGGAGGGGACTGGACGCTTCGCCTGGATGTTTCGCCATTGGCAAGCCTCATTCATTCACACGATACCCTGGTTTCTCCAGCGCTGCTCTGCTCTTTTCTCTGAACCTTGCTCATTGTGATCATATGTGGAGGCTGGGAGTTCGTTCAAAAACGCAGCACCAAGACAGCGCCACGCTATCTCATCTCGCAGACGGTGGTACGACATTGTGGGTCCATCTCATTTCACCAAATATTGTCCGACTAGAATCACATGGATTTGACAGTAGGGAAGGCAGCACAGAGCGGTCGAATCGAGTCGTAAGAGAGCTGGGCTACTAGGTAGCGGGTGATGATCTGGGTAGTGTCAGGGCTATCGAGGCTATGCTATGTGGTCAGCTTTCTGTGTTCCATGAGGGACGAGGAAGACTGTCTCACTCTCCTTCAAAGGGCTCGTGGCGTGGCGACCAGCATGTAGCTTTGTCAACACAAGGACTGGCTCACCGTCACCATCTTGACCACACTCTCAGATTAACCGTAGAAGCCACAGAAAATGCCTTTATCTGCGGCTGTCAGCACAACGGCTCTCCCACGCTGCACAACATACCATCCATCTTCCCGAATAAAAGAGATTGAAACTTCTTGCCGAGCTATTGTGATACAGGGAGTCCATCTGATGTTGAACAAACGGTCTTCCTTGGCGCCTTTTGCTCGGTGATGAATACATGCTCATCGCTGGCACACGTAAAGGTGACAGGTCCCTCCTTCATTTAAAAAGATGAAACTCGATCCATTGCCACCGACGCCTCAATCCTCAGAGAGACTCCGGTGTGGACTGACAAAAGTGCGGACCGCATAATGGGTCGAATGGAAAGCTTGACAAGAACGGCAAATGCCTCTCAAAGATACTTCTTGCAGGAACTCGATTCCTCCTATATGAGCGTGGTTCTCGTAACCTGCTTCCTCATTTCAGGCCTCATCGACAGCGTGGCGTTCAACACGTGGAACTGTTTTGTCAATATGCAGACTGGTACGCCTCTGAACCTCCTCACCTCAAGTATGATCTCGGTCAGCACCCTTTTTGACGTCTCTCTTTACCTAGGCAACACCGTCTTTGCCGCCCTTGGTCTGGGTGGTCAGCCGAAAGCGAGTCACAAGCAGCAATATTACAAGTCGCTGACATCCATCGGTGCCTTCTGTCTGGGTGCGTTGTTCTTCAGTACTCTGCATCGCTATCCCACCGGGCGAGTTTGCCAGCCACCACTCTCGTCTCGCCGACGACTCAACCTCATCGTATCCTTCTTTGTTCAGACAGTCTTCATTGTCATTGCCGCGAGCTTGGTGTCCACGAACGAGGTGTCAAACCAACCATTCGTCGCCGGCACTTTTTCTTCGGGCAACGACGAGATACCTGCGTCCATGATCAATTTCCTCGACCTGTGCCCGATAGCCCTAATCTCCTTTCAGGCCGCAGGGCAAGTCACGCTCTCGAGACTGCTTTCCGTCGTCGAACTGCCGACAATTGTCCTGAGTGCCTTGTACCACGACGTCTGTGCCGACCTGTACAACATGCGAGATTCGTGGAGGAAGAGCGCCAGTCTCTGGGAGTTCTTTGTCGTGAGCGAGAGGAAACAACAGAGACGGGCTGCCTGCATTGTGGCGCTTTTCCTCGGAGGCATCATCGGCGGGGAAATGTACAAGTCCTCGGCCGGAATGGGGGGAGCACTGTGGCTTGCTGCAGGTTTGAAATTCGGTATCCTCGTCGGATGGTTCTTCTGGAAGGGGCAAAAAGGAGACGATGACTGCAGCGACCAACTACAGGGATGAACGTCGGACCACGACAATAGAACCAGGGAGGCAGGACCGTCTACTTGACAATGCCTCGAGGTATACCGAGCACGGAGTACATGCCCCCAACAAGTCACTCTGAGATTGAGCAAAGACTGCGGCAAGGATTTGCAAGGCCGATAAACAAGGACAGGACGCGGTCGAAACTTCAACATCCCCTTTTCTTGTCCCTCATGGGTGTATTTGCCGCAGTGGAAGGGTGCTCGGCAATAACGACGACGCGGTGTGGAGAGGATGATGCCAAAGGGACGACAATGATGAATTTGGCCCCTTAAGCGCGCCAGTGGCGAGACCCAGTGGCCACTCACACGTGGTTGAAGATGGAGACGTTCGCGATTGTCTTGTTTCATTTGGCGTCTCACCATCCCGAACTTTCCTCTTCCCATCAACCTCGATGAAGAACAGGTCAAGCTTTCGCTAAGCACTTCCACAATCGCTTGAGTACTTTAATTTCCACGCCCCTTGCCTGCTCCCTGGCGAACACGCCACATCACCGAGCTACTTACCCAGTGGCATTGGTGGCATCTTCTCCAACTCGCGAGGCGGTAAGGCTGGCACCATGATCCAAAAATCAGCATCTGCTCTTGCAATCCTAGCCTAAACAGTAACCTTCTCAAGATGTGTACCAATGGCATCCATGCAGCCAGTGGGCCCTGCTCGACTTCGACTGATCCTCTCATCTCCAATGCAGTCGTCCCCATACTCTCCTGTCTTATGGAGAAGGGATTCGCCGTTTCGCAGCATCGTGAACCTCAGCGAGGTGGTTCCATCCATCGGTCAAGAAACTTCTCTTCGTGGCCTGATGCTCTTTATAATGCTTTGTGAAGTACTTCTTATTTCTCCTTTCTCCAGCAAAGCCCTTCCTTGTGCATCCGTTCTTTTCCTTCTGTTTTCTCCCTGTACCGAGTACTTTCTTTTACCCCAGGCTGGGCCTGTCATTCGTTTTCGTTTCCCAGCCGGCCGCTACGCCGCACAGCACATTCTTTGAACCAACTTCAAAGCATGGCTAGCTTCTCTTCAGTCGCCCTAGTGGCCTTTTCATTCCTTGCTACAGTCACTCATGCAGCTCCTCGAGGTACTGCTGTCTTCTTCAGTAACACGACCACTCCTGCCGTTGCAGCATCGACCACGACCTCGCCACATGCGGTTACCAGCACAAAGGCGCCGGCAAATACCATAGCCTTGGATCCCAATGTGGTAGATTGTCAACTGCAACTTCCAGCAAATGCGCTTACAGCTGCGGGGCTTTCGACACCATGGCAGCTACTGGCCCCATGTTCTCAGGCTGTTGGTGCCCAACAAGCATTCGCTGAAGCCGCTGTTATAGACCCCTCGGGACAACTTTCAGTCTACCATCCGTTGATCATTGATCAAGGCAAAACGCCTCAAGCGGCACCAGTTGTTCCCAACATCGCCGCCGGATCGCAGGTGATCCTGTTTTTCGGTTTCAACGGAAACACACTGACACTCGTCGACGCAAATGGACAAGACAGCAATGCATCTCCCGTCCTGCAGAACCTGAAATGTGTTAATGGGCTTCCTGGCGCCAAAGGAGACGTCTTCGGCCAAGTCAGCTGGTGCAACACGGTGGCTTTCTGGGATGCTGCCAATGCTGCTGTGGCGGCCGGAAAGCTGGTAGTTCCTCCTTTAGGTACTGACAACAACGGCAACCAGTGTCTGTCCAGTCGTTCATTTGAAATCATTGACCAGGATCAGTCCGACAATTTGCCCACCAAGTACCTTCTCCTGGCTGATGGCAGTACCGTCCAGTTCACCGCTGCAAATGTAGCCAAATTCCCCACAGCCACAGAAATTGATAATGCTTCGGACGAAGCTCTGATTGCTGACTTTGTGGATCCTGTGATCGGCTGCACTCCTTTCAAGATTCCCAGCCTCGACGACCCTGGTACAACGGTCTCCTCCATGGCTTCTCAAGAACTACAAGCTCTACTTCAGCAACAGGAACCAATTGCTCTTGCTCCTCTCAATGACCCCGACTGCCTCCTCACTTCGAACGGCCAGATGAGCACTGCGAAGACCAACGCTTATCGGCTAGGCGTTAACATGCCACTTTTGGGGAATGGCGCCAAAACGGATAAAGGCTCACCAACAGACTATTGCAACAATTTAGTTGCCATCCAGCCTCCTTTCCTAGCTGGATTCCAGACTGCGCTCACAAACGCCCAAACTCCGGATCCAGCAGTTGGCACAAATCTTTTCACCTTCCTGGCCAACCGATTCCTTCAGTCTCTCACCAACCTTAACTGCCCTAACAAAAACATTCCCATCACTTGCACGCTCGACGCAAATGGTGTTGCGACGGCCTGCAGCATCACTGCAACTAGTAGCACCGGGAATGGCACAACGATCAGCAAAGCAGCGGGCAACGGCAGTATAGGTCCTACGGCAACTGATCTCGCACCAACCTCTGCTTTCACCATGACGGCTGTTCCCACTCGCCATGTCCACAGCCACGGTTTTGGCGGGAAGACCATACCACCCAGTCCTCACACCTTCACCGGCACGGCAACCACAGCGACTACGCCGACGACGTCAGTGACTGCTAGTACCGGAACCGGATCAGCATCTGAGAGCCAAAGTTTCTCTGGAAACGGAGGAAAAAATGTGACCACACCGACCGCCCCTGTTCAAGTTGGCGTCGGTGGCGACACGAGTTCCTCGACGTCCAGCGCAGCACTAAGCTTAGGTACAGGGCCAAGCGCGACTGTTCCACCTCCGCTAACTCAGTTTACGGCGGTGCCTACATCGGTGGTGGCTGCGGCGGTGTGCTCGAGTACGGCGACGGCAAGTCTTCAGCATTGTTGGTCTTTGGCGGGTTGGCAGTTGTGCAAGCTTGCCTGAGAACGACCCGATGTATGTTTGTAGCTCTAGCTAGCTCCTCGGCCCAACTGAGAACCGGGCAGCAGAGACAAGGTGCTGAGCATTTTGTATCATCATATCAGTCATGTTAACGGCTTTTGGGCTTCCTTGAAAGCATGCTCTTCAGCAGCCCCATGTATTTGTATTTGAGTGGCGGAAAGAAGAATCCTCCAGAGACGAATAAGGCCTCGAATAAATGCATGATGGGCATGGCATCTTGGCATTTTGCTCAGACCAAGGTCGAATCCCAAAATACAACGCTAGTTCTATCTAGTTCGGTCTTCACTTGGCACGGACAGCCATGCGGAGAGACAGACTGAGAGACGAAAAGAAGGAAGGAAGGAAAGAAAATAATATATCTGAACGCCCACTTTTATAGACGAACTATCGAACTTTTATTTTTGGCCCCTTCGAAGATTCCACGAAAGACGAACTGATACAACCTTTTTACTTCTTGTTCAGAGAGGAAGGGGACTCTTGAACAGGCGGCCACCTTTCCACACGTGCGTGATATTGTCCGGGTCCTTGAACAAGTCCATGTTCTCCAAGGGGTCGGCGATTAATGCGACCAGATCGGCGTCGTACCCGGCTTCAATCCTGCCGCTCTTGGGCGCCATGCCGAGGCCGCCGAGCACTTCGGGCCCCATGGCCGTGGCTGCTTCGATGGCCTGCAGGGGCGCCATGCCGCCGTCGCGCACGGCGTAGGCGAGTTCGCCGCCGCTCCGGCCGTGCGCGAGCGGATGCGTCGCCGGGGTGCTGATGCCCAAGTCGGTGCCCAGGGCGATCTTGACGCCCGATTTCACGGCTAGGCGGTACGCGTCGCGGTGGTGTCGTGCCGTCTCCAGCATCTTCCGGTACGACTCCGGCGACATGAGTTCCGGGTGGTCGACGCCGACTTTCACGATCGTCCGCGTCGGCACGTACACGGTCCCTTGCTTCTTCATGAGCTCGACGCATTCCTTGTCCATGTACGTGCCGTGTTCGATGGTGTGCACGCCCGCGTGCAGTGCGGCCATGATCCCATCTTTGCCGTGGCAGTGCGCGCCGACGACCCTCCCGGCGCGCTGGGCCTCTTCCACAATGACTTTCAACTCGTCGAGCGAGAATTGTTGCCGCAGAGGGTCGTCTGCGATGCTCAGCACGCCACCGCTCGCGAATACCTTGATGCATTTGGCGCCTCGTCGGATCAGGAGCCGAACAGCGCGCCGACACTCGTCGACCCCGTCGGCGATAATCATCGGTCCCATACCCGGGGACATCGCGTTTGATTGGGTGTCCCTCACCCCGAAGAGGGAGTCGACGAACCCCGAGGGCAGGTCGAAGACATCCCCATGGCCTGCGGTTTGGGATATCGCCGCGCCCGAAGAGTATATGTTTGGCCCGACGAGCGTACCTTCTTCGATCGCCTTGGAGACTTCGAGCCCGTAGCCTGCCAGTTCGCGGACCGAGGTGAATCCGCTCATCAGGATGTCATGCACGTTCCGTGCGATCCTGGCACCCGCTAGCGCCGTCGACTGAGTGGCGATCTCGGCGAAGTTGAATGTCTTGCTGCCCAGGAGGTGGATGTGACAGTCCCACAGCCCGGGCATCAAGACGGGGACAGTCGTGGTCGGGAGGTTTTTGAACGGTGGTGGCACGGACGCTGTGGGCTGGATCGAAGTTATGGTCCCGCCTTGGAGAATGATAGACATGTTGTGCTGAGGCTTGCCGCGGCCTGGTAGGAGGAGGGAGGCGTTGATTAAGTGCGTTGTTCCGGCCATCAGGTCGAGCAGACTACCTGGAGGAGACGGCGGTATGGAAGCGGGACTGGAGGGAGAATGAGACGAGGGTTCTGGCCATTCTCCGTCTGTCACCCGCGGAGCACAATCGATTGCATGGTTGCTGTTTGTGGAGAAATTGGCATTGCTGATAGTCTGAGTGGTCGAAGAACCAGGAGGTATCGCGTTGCGACGGGTCATGATTCAGGAACTTGGACAAGGAACGGCCGACATTCAAAGGAAGTAATAAATATATGTATATGTGTGGGGTGCCGATCCGTCACACGTGTGTTTTCTTTCGAATAGATACCCTTCACCCTCCTCCTTCGAAGCGGTATCTTGATCTCACCGACGCCACGCAAGCACCACGGCGACGAACCGGACGTACTGAAATGTCGCCAAGACAATAATGGCAGACGTGCAACCGTAGAGAATACGATGGCAGAAGTTCATGGGATGCTATAGGGATCAGTTTCCTTTTTGCTAGTCGCTAGGCGTTGAGTTCGGGGATTGGACAAGGTTCAAGGTAACGAAGCTTAGTAGGAGCGACGTGCTGGACGTTTTCCAAACGGACGAGATAAAGCTCCTATCGGCGCCAAATTGGGAATAGCTTCGGAGCCGAATAAGAGATGAAGTACTGTACTCCAGTCAATCGCTGTGTTGTTTTTCCGCTCCGGCATTTCCGAGGCCGCTTGGTCGCTTCGACTTCGAGGTTTCCCTTGAGATGCCTCGAGATGCCTTGAGATGCCTTGAGATGCCTTGAGATGCTTACTTGATGCCTGCTCTACTTGATAACTCTCATAAGGAGATTTCGGGCTTTAGCAAATGGTCGGGAACATCAATGCCCGCTTTGGAATGATACTGCTTTCACCTCGACTGCGTTACCATGCTGTCGACATGATCCAGCACTTTGCGTTGATGGCAAACTTCCTCTGCTTGTTCAACAGCTTCACAGCGCTTCACAGCGCTTCACAGGTGTAGATCCGCCAAATATCTCCGGAGAGTGTTGAGGATCGTTCTCGTGCTAAGTACACGACATGTCCATCTTGATGACTGAAGATTTAGTGCTGAGTCCTGTAGTAAATACGAAAATTGGTTAGGTCGGACTGCCACACGAGTCGAGGGTAAGATCTGCCACGATCGCTAACCAAATATAGCTGCCCTTAATTCAAACGGTCAACTGGAATTTACAGCGTTGCAAATTGGAACAACCGGATCACCTAGGCCGCTGGAGACCTTCGGCATGTCAATATCGCCGTGTCCGCTAGCTGTTGCGAGATGGAGGTTGCATGATGCTTTTGACCAGATCAAAATTGCCGCTCCGGTTCTGTTGTGCGATGGGAATACAAGGGTCCCGTTACCGGTTGAGAAACCGACGTCTATATAACGACCAAGACATGGCTTGATACGGAGAGCGACGCAACTGTCAAAAATCAGCTTGGTGAAGATTCAACCATGCGTTGCGTGCTTGGTCTGTTGGCCCATGGTTTGCTGTTCAGATTTTCAACAGCCCTTCCAGCTACATCATCTACGGTTACCGCTCACAGTGACCTCGCCGCATCGATTTCATTACCTCCTACTAAAGATCCGTTCTACAGTGCTCCCCCTGGTTATGAGTTCACTGCACCGGGGACAATCTTGCGTGTTCGGGAAGCAACTACCAATCTGACGTCGATCTACAATGCCAGCTCATCAGTCTACAATATCCTCTACCGCACCACCAACGCACGATATCAGCCAGCATGGGCGGTGACAACTTTGTTTGTGCCTTTGACGTTCCCAAATGGCCCTGGCGGCGATACGCTCCTGTCGTACCAGATTCCCTACAACACCGCGGACGTCGACCACAGCCCTAGCTATGTGCTTGGTTCCGAGCTAGCTTCAGGTCTAATTCTTTCGGACATCAACTCCGCCCTCAGCCATGGCTGGTTCGTCAACGTACCTGACTTTGAAGGCCCCTCGGCATCATTTGGATCTGGAGTCTCAGAGGGCCATGCCACGCTTGACTCGGTTCGAGCTGTGTTGTCTGCAGGATTTGGTCTGTCCCCAAATACACGATGTGCTATGTGGGGTTATTCAGGAGGATCAATCGCGAGCCAATGGGCAGCAGAATTACAGGTACAATATGCACCGGAACTCAACTTTAGCGGCGTCGCTCTGGGTGGTCTGGTCCCGAATGGAACAAGCATACTACACACCATTGACGGGACGCCTGCAGCAGGATTGCTCCCATCGTTTCTCGTGGGTGTCATCAAACAATATCCCACCGCATACCAGTACATGGTCAGTAACCTGAAAACTTCTGGGCCGTACAACGCGACGGGGTTTTTGGCAGTTCAAAACATGTCCTATCTGGAGGCTGCGGTGGCGTTTATGAATCAGAGCGTCCTCAATAATTACTTCATCGACGGCACTTCTTTGTTTCAGCAGCCCATCATTCAGAGGATCTTCAACATCGACGGGCTGATGGGCTACCACGGGATCCCACAGATGCCAATGTTTATCTACAAGGCGACGCACGACGAATACAGTCACGTGGGTGATACTGACTCGCTCGTGGCAAGATACTGCGAGGCCGGTGCGAACATCTTGTACCAGAGGAACACGGCTGGTAATCACTTGGACGAGGAAACAAATGGAGATGCAAGGGCATTCGACTGGTTGATTGCAGCGTTGAATCGATCGCTCGTGATGCACCGAGGATGCACGGTTCAGAACGTGACGGTTAGCATCAGCTCGCACGGACCATTTGCGCTTCCGCCCTGAATGCAGGTGTCTTATCATGCGCAAATACTATGTAGAATCTAAATCTACACTGAAACCATATTATCCTCGCAACAGTTTTTGGGTGCGAAGTATTCCACCACCTCCATGCGCATTACTAGCCCGTCCGAGATAGAACAATAACAAATTTTGAGGAGTTGAAACGAAGATCAGGATACGGTAGGCAAGTGGTGGGCGTCATGAGACGTTTCAATGGACGACGGAATTATCGAGATCGGGGCTGGTACGATTTGAGTTGTCGAGGCCTCACGTATACCTCCTGTGAATGAGCTTCGAGCGGAATCTGCTCCTCGTCGAAGTCGTCGACTGCCTGCGAAACATGAAAATGGTTAGGGGTGATCTTCCTTGCTATTCCCGCAAGACCATGACACAAGCAGTCACCACGTTGGTTTCAAGCGACTGATTTTGTGGATCTCTACGAGTACCTGGTAGGAGCTGATACCGCCCACCAAACAACAGCACCGGCACTTTCTGCCCTGGGTCTTTGGAACAGAGGTTCTGGATGGCCCACCCTTCTGTTTACTCCCCCGATTGGGTGGCAACAACTTCCGAACATGCATAGCAGAGAATTCTTTGGGGCGTGGCCGGGACCGTCGTCTCTACGGGCGCATCCGAATCCCGATAGTTTGAAGATTGCTGGAAGGTCTAACAAGTATGAAGCCAGATGCTTGCCACTTACGCGGAAAGGATCTTTGGATCGTTCAGGGGCCCATAACCTGAGGCGTCACCAGACAAAAATCTCAGGGTAAACATCAAGTCGCTTCCATATCCAAACACTTTCTGATGCTTTGAGCGGGGAACGGCAAAGTCGAAATTTGTTGAGAGGCCAATGCGAGGGTTTTCGCCAAAAGGCAGGTGGCTGAAGGGTCTCGACTTCTCATTCTCGTGCTGTCCAAAGTGAGTGGCAAAATATGGATGTGCAGGAAAACTCCATGCAAGTACAGTAGCTGCCATTAGACCTGGATAGACTTCGACTCGGTCAAGGGTGATACTGATCGACGAATATGCTGGCAATCTCTTGAGACATGTTGAGCGGTTTTCTGGACGCATCGACGGCTCATCGGCAGATACAGCGGGAGGCGTCAACGACGATCATGCTGCATCACACAATGGCAATGTCTCGATTCGGAGGACCACCTCGCGAACAGTTCAACGGCAACGAGGTCATCCCGATCATGGGGAAGGATCACGATCAGCCTGAGATGGCACCTGTTGGTCGACATGGAAATGTTGATGAGGCAAGACAATGCGATGAAGAGTCAGAAGACTCGGAAGTCGCCGGCGTCGGGCTTGGCACGTGCGCATGTGTAACGTGACGACTGACTAGGGAGACACATAGAAGCAGAAAGGAAGAGCTACGGGGGAGCATACCGCATACGGATGCATTACTCTTTTTCGCCACACGGCGCCGCCTCACTGAGCGTTGTTCGGCTTTCCATCCATCACGCAACTTTGTCAACCAGAGATTTCACCACCCGAGTCGCTAACAGACTCGGCCATCGCCATGGCCAAACTGGGTCTAGGAACCTCGTGATCATATCCGTCTCTCTCGAAGGAAGCACGCACTACAACGCATTCCCTCGTATATGACACTCAAGCTGTCACTATTGGATGCTAGCGTCACTCGTCTCTTGCCACCCTCAACGGTGACTCGTCAGGCAACGTGGCTCGATCTGTCAAACCAGTCAGCACCAAACTCACCCTCACCGAAGGCAAGGGGGGCAATGTCGCCTCACAAGATGGCGCTTGCAGACGTACCATGTATTCTCATACGTAATCTTGTGTCACCAGGGACTAAGAATTGTTTGACACACTCCATGCACAACTCGTATCACTACCAGTCAGCGATCGCTCCCAGCCCCATCCTGGTCGTTCAATGCCTCAGGTTCAGAAGCTAGGACCCTTCGGCTGCGGGCTGGTCGAAGTTTGACAGCCCAATTCCATGCGAACCAGAGCTTGGATACTTAGACGGTTATCAATGGCGATCCTGAGACACGCGAAACGACCCTCTGGGAGCAAGCGTTCCACACCCTACGCAAGTCGCCCGAACAATTTCGGTAAGGCTTAGAGTGGGTACGCCGCTTTGTTCTCTATCTGCGCTATTGGCTATTGGTCCTACTCCTGATCTTCCATCTTCATTCTTCGAGAGAGGAGATAGATGGTCACATGGACCCGTTGAAAGCGGATCTGCCCCCCCCCCCAATTGACAATCACCCATCTCTAGATTGTGTTGCGGATCACTATCCCCTCTGCCATTTCAGAATGGTACAGGTACAATTGGGCCTGCCTACTACTAGCACTTTGTGGCGAATCACAAGGTGTCAGATAACAATAAGTTGCAAGCCACAGAAAAGTCGGCTGCCGACAATTCCGCCGAGGCTGGCACTGCAGCGTGACCCAAGGTGCAGAGGCAAATTTGGTTCAGGTGCGAAGGGGCCGCTACTGGAAGCCTGGACTCTGCTAGAGGCTATTATTTTCAGCCCGCAGACTGCAAGAGTTGGCTCTACTCGAGTAGTAAGTAGCTGTTGAACCAGGTCGTTCCCGTGCTCTCGATCTCTAGGTACCCAGTACAGCACAGTCCAGTCTCACCCCGCTACACTTTACTTCTCTCGCCGAGTTGGTGGCTGAGAACAGACTCCCGCCATTGTGCCTGTCTAGCCAGGGCAAGGGTCTCCTATCTGTGGAGGAGTCTTCGCAAAAGACCTCAGCATCGAATCAGAAATTGTGGGCTCGGAAGTTGTTCTGCTGAAGGCAGGCTACGTAGCGCTGACCAGAATGCGGCCGTCGCCAGAGATAGTAATCCTCATCATGAGAGAGCCTTGTGTCCGGAGTAGGCGACAGACCCAAAGGTTGCGTCCGTCGCCAGATGAGTTGCAAATCTCAGACTGCCCCAGGGCAATTGGGCAGGAATGAGGGATGGGCATTGCATGATGCTTCTGCCGCTATTCCAGCACACCCCTTTCGCGCTGGGGTGGGCTCTGGCATGCCGCTGTTGATTGGGCGTTTAGAGTGATTGGGAGCAAGGGATTGCAGACGAGCAAGTTCGAACAGTCAGAGTGCGGTTAGTGCTGGGAGGCAGGGCCAGTGTCCAGCATGGTGGCCTGCGTACTTTGCAGACCGACCAGGCCGCAGTCCTGTGCCCTGCCATTTTCAGAATCTGGCTACTGAACTCGCCATCTGGCATCCAGGGCCCCTCCTTGCCTGAAACACGAACGAATGGCGATGGCAGTCTGCCCAGGCCAGGACTAGCACTTCCACCTCTTCCAGGCGCGAGGCGCAAAAAGCAACACGATCCAAGCATCTCACCGACCAGGCCACTCCCCGACCTGCCGATGGACGATCAAATTTTTTCATGGTTGCTCGTCTCATGTCCGATGCCGTCTGTGCTGGCGCCAGAACTGCCCAATCGCCATCCCCCATGGACCCTCCGATGGTGTCAAGCACCAACTCTTGAGAGAGACGGTTTGACCAGACTTGCCCAGATGAAGCAGACACAAGCAAGACGGCATGGGGAGTCTGCATTTTACCGTGGCGTCACAGGTGAAATTTCTCCCAAGGAAGCCATTGGTGCCAATTACAGACATGTCAACACCCGGAATAGGGCGGGCGGCGAATTTGGGAATGGCTACCCAAGTGCTTGCCCGCCAGCAGCCCAAAACAACTGTGCTTCCGGCACTGACCAGGTTGATTTTCGCCTTCTCACTGTCGGTGGTGGGAACCCTGCAAGCACCCCCCCTCCCCCCAAAAAACGCAGAGTTGGTGATTGGGATACTGGGCTGTTCTCGTCAGGGAGGCCAGCTACTGGTCGATATGCTAGCGCTGGCGCTCGGTCTCGCAAGGAACGCTGATCTGTGGTCGGTGGTGACAAGAAATGCGCCCAGCCACTTGGTGATCCGCTCATCGCCCACTTTTCCACCGACTCAACGGGGCATGCAACCCACCCAGCCCGTGTCTCCTGCCAGACGGTGCCCGCCTCGTCTTGCTCCCTCTGGCCCGCCTAAACCAAAACTGCTCACGGAAAGCTCGTCATCCAGCGTTCCCAGCGTCAGACTACGGCCCAGGGTTTGCGAACTTTGACGCATCGATGTGGGTCTTCTCCCTTCCTGGCGTTCTATTCGCAGCATCTTATGACCAGGTTCTGACGGCGTTTTTGCCCCACCGGCATGGGTGGCATGAGTATCGACGGTCCGTGCGTCGACGCTTGCCATGTTCGCCATGCTTGCAATGGCTCTGTTCGAGTACAACGTCCGTCATTCCTAAAAGGACATAATATTGCCTCTATACCTCGATACACCTACTCGCATCAACACCAGCACCACCACAAAACCACCCGACATCCCGCCTTCAACCTCCAACCCTCTCTTCTATATCTCAACATCTGCTCTCTACTGTACCACTTTGTACCCTCATACCTTCTGGTCTTTCCTTTTACTCCTCGACATCCAAGCCGACCTACAATAAACCATAATCCGTTGGACCTACATTCCACATCCAGGGACTGGCCCCATTTCTGTTCATTTCCTCAAAACAAGTCTCTGGAACTCTTCTGGACCCATGTTTTGAACTGTTCTTTTTGGTCTTGTTCGACTACTCCCCTTTCCTAGAAAAAGTACTCCGTACTTTTGGGCTCTCCCAATAATGCTATTGACGCCACCATCGTCCCCTCAACTCGCGACTTGCCTTGCACCAGAGGACCGATTGGGGTGTGTTTTAGCCGGCCGACTCGAACTGGTCTCTATCCTAGGAATTGGCGCTTATGGAGTGGTCTACCAGGCCATCGACAGACTCACCAACATCCCCTATGCCGTGAAGGCCCTTCCCAAAGTTGGATTGGATCCCAGACAACGACGTTTCCAACGGCGCGAGATTGCCCTTCATCACCAAGCCAGCCAACATCCCAATGTTGTGTCCCTGCTTCGCATCTTGGAGAGCCCGGACTGTACGTTTGTGGTGATTGAGTTCTGCCCCGAAGGCGACTTGTT